ATCTTTCATCAGTCTGGTGCTTGCTTCTTCCATTTTGTGCAATATCTAATCTAAAGGATCTCAAAAATCATTTAATCCAATCCTTTTCTAAGCAACAATTACAGAAATCACTTGTTTTGTGAGTCTCCAAAAGCTATAATAATACTAAAAAGCAAAGGACGAGGCAAAAGATAGCTTTGAAAATCACATTCAAAGAAGGGAGGATGTAAAGGGAATAGATATTCTATGTGTTGAGAAATGGGACCAAGTTTGGGACTTAATTGATTTAAATCCTAACTTTTTACTCAAATTATTCAAAGTAGCATCTATTTCAAGCTGGGTCTGTTGCCAAGCTAATCTTTTTTTAAGTACAGCAGTAGATGCTTGTTGTAAAACTGAAGCAACAGTGCAGAAATAATGCGCCATACCCCAACCATGACGCCCTCACCCCTGGCCCCCCAGTCCCATTCCCCAGAAGTAACCACTGAAGAATGTGTGTGTGCCCTTTTGGACATTTTCACTGCATGTATTAGCATGTTACTTCAACACACACACACACACACACACACACACACACACACACGGAATTAAAATATACTTTGTGTCCTTTAACAATTCATACAGCTGATTTGTAGCAAGTAAGCTATGCAGTGAGGTGGCTTTTCTAGCAGGGCTGTCGATGTGCTGCCTTCATGGAGCAATAAAGAGTATCAACAGGGCTATTTCTTTTAATATGAAATCCTGAAGTTGGGTGTTAGGGTGCTAGGGCTTTTATGTCCCAGTGTGCTTCTGAACAAGAGAAAATAATCAAGGCTTTACCCTCGCTCACTTAATAAACATTTTATGTAGTGAACTACATGGCAGGTGCCAGGCTAGGCTCTGGGGGTTCTGAGCCCAGTTGGTGAGTCTTGGCTCCTGCCCTCACGGAGCTTCATAGAGTTCTCTCCCTACAAACCACTATCCCCCTGAGAGAATCTGCTCATCAACTCAAACCAACCTTTACTGAGCACCTATCAGGAATTGAGCTCTATTTTAGACATGCAAATATAAAGATGAATAAGCTTTCAAATCTGCCCTCAAGAATCACAGTCTAGGGCCACCTGGGTGGCAGAGTGGTTGATCGTCCACCTTTGGCTCAGGACATGATCCTGGGGTCCTGGGATTGAGTCCCCTACAGGGAGCTTGCTTCTCCCTCTGCCTGTGTCTCTCATAAATAAATAAAAATCTCCCCCTTCCCCCCAAAAAAAAGAAAAGAAAGAAAAAAGAATCACAGTCTAGTGGGGAAGTAGATTATTCTGTTGCCATGACAGCAGTGGGAAGTATGCAGGGTTCTATTGGCAGACAGGAAGAGAAGTCACGTGGCTTTCAGGGAGTTGAGCGTCTGAAGTCCATGGGTGGAGGTGGGGTGGGGTTACACGGAGAGAAAAGACATGAGCAGACACCTCCTTCAGAGCATGAAGAGTGACTATGCGGAAGGCTCTGTGAATGTGTAAGGCCTTTGGACATTTCCTAGGCAAGACGGACATCTGATCTGGGCAGCAGGATAGAGGTGGGCGTAAAGTTTCAGAAAGCTCACTGGAGGACGCCGCAGGAGGCCAGGAAACCCACCCAGCAGACTCAGTCCCGAGGAGAAATAAGAATCTAAGCCTGGGCAGGGTAGGAGAGAGAGGGACTAAAGAGGCATTCAGTGGGTAAAATGGTCAGAGTATGGCAACCAACTGGATGTGATGTTTCAGAATAAGGGAGGGTAGGGACAACGCTCAGGTTAAATCATGGGGACTGGTAGATGGAAGTCCAGGCTCTCTGGACTTAGGTGAAAAGACATGTACTTTTTTTTTTACTTTTGCACTCTGTAACCCTCTTAACTTCTATTTCCCCTTGGCATAAAAGCCCTTGTCTATCTTAAAATACTCCTTCCATTCTACCTACCACTCCAACATTATTTTGTTTGTTGTTCCAAGTTTTTATTTAGATTCTAGTTAGTTAACATATAGTGTAATATTAGTTTCAGGAGTAGAATTTAGTGATTCACCATTTACATGCAACACTCAGTGATCATCACAAGTGCCCTCCTTAGTATCCACCACCCATTTAACCCATCTCCCCACCCCAACCCCCCAGCAACCCTCAGTTTGTTCTCTATAGTTAAGTCTGTTTCTTGGTTTGTATTCCCCCGCTCCTGCCGCTATGTTCACCTGTTTCCTTTCTTAAATTCAACATGAGTGAAATCATATAGTATTTGTCTTTCTCCGACTTATTTCACTTAGCAAAAAACACTCTAGCTTCATCCATGTCGTTGCAAATGGAAATATTTCATTTTTTATGACTGATATTCCATTTTTATGTGTGTGTGTGTGTGTGTGTGTGTGTATCTCACATCTTCTTTATCCATTCATCAGTTGATGGGCACTTGGGCTCTTTCCATAGTTTGGCTATTGTTGATAATGCTGCTATAAACATTAGGATGCATGTACCCCTTCAAATCAGTATTTTTGTATCCTTTCAGTAAATATCTAGCAGAGCAATTGTTGGATCCTACATAGTTCTACTTTTAACTTTTTGAGGAACCTCCGTGCTGTTTTCTAGAGTGGCCACACTCCTTTGCAGTCCTACCAACAGTGCCAGAGGGTTCATCTCCTTTTTCTGCATCCTCACCAACAAGTGTTTTTTCCTCTATTGTTAATTTTAACTATTCTAACAGGTGTGATGTAGTATCTCATTGTGGTTTTGATTTGTATTTCCCTGATGATGAGTAGATGTTGAGAATCTTTTTTTTTAATAAATTAATTTTTATTGGTGTTCAATTTAACAACATACAGAATAACACCCAGTACTCATCCCGTCAAGTGTCCCCCTCAGAGAATCTTTTCATGTGTCTTTGGCCATCTAGATGTCTTCTTTGGAAAAATGCACATTCATGTCTTCTGACCATTTCTTAATTGAATTATTTGTTTTTTGGGTATTGAGTTTCAACAAATGGTGTAGGGAAAACTGGAGAGCAATGTACAAGAGAATAAAACTGGGCCACTTCCTTACACCAACACAAAGATAAATTTGAAATGGATGAAAGACCTAAATGTGAGACAGGAATCCAAAATCCTAGAGAACACAAGCAGCAACCTCTTTGACCTTGGCTGTAGCAACTTCTAAGAGCTCTGCCTCCTAAGGCAAAAGAAACAAAAGCAAAAACAAACTATTGGGACTACATCAAAATGAAAAGCTTCTGCACAGTGAAGGAAACAACAAAACTAAAAGGCAGTCTACGGAATGGGAGAAGATATTTGCAAATGACATTCAGATAAAGGGCTAGTTTCCAAAATATATAACTTACCAAACTCAACACCTAATGTTCATTAAATAACAGACAACTTCCTCACCTCCCCTTCAATCCTCAACCCGCCATGTCTGCAAACGGTCCCCACACCCTCCGATGATGCCGCAACTGCGCCTCCTCTCTCTCAGACCACCTGACATGGATTCTCCCAGTGTCCTTTCCCTAGAGAGCTGCCCTCCCACCCCGTTCCTGGAATCCAGCTGTCTTGGGTTCCCTTCTCATGTTCTCCACAAGCTGTCCTGTCCATGCTCGTGGCCTGGCTTCCATCTTCACACTGAAGCCTCCCTATTTTAAGGCCAGTCTTCCTAAATTCCAGTCATGTATCTGTCCATATTCAGTTGTGTCAAATTTGTCCCAAACTCATCTCTTTTCCCCTCCTATATTCTGTGCAGTAGCAAGCGGTACTGGGTGCACTCCTTCACCAAAGCCCAACATGCAAAGCCACACTGGCCCTCATCCTGGGGTACTGCGGCCCAGACACAAGGCACCCTCCTGCCCCGCTGCTGTTTGCTCTAGCTGAAACGTCCTTCCTTTCTGAAAAATAACTATTTCACACACACAATATCAGATACAAAGCCACCATCCCAGATTTTTGCTAATTATTCTCTTTATTTAAAATATACTTAATATAGACATTAAATACATGTAATAATAGGTATGACCCTGTTATAAAGCATAATATAACAAACAGCCATAAACCTATCATTCAGCCCAAGAACCAGAATATTACTAATAACCTGCATCCACCTATGTGCTCCTCTACAATCTGCTCAGTTTCCCCTTCTCAGCGTTAATTACTCTACTAAATTTTGGTTTATTGTTGCTTCTTTTTCTTACAACATAGTTTTATGGTTTACATATGGCTAGACAATATATTCTTTGGTTTTGCTTGTTTATGAGCTCAATAAAAATAGCATCATAGCACATGCTCTCCTGGAGCCTGCTTTAGTTCTTGTATTTCCTGAGATTCATTCTTATCGTCCAGTACAGCTGCAGTCCATTCATTTCCACTCCTGAATAATGCCCGTTAGCGTGGAATATACCTATCTATCCATTCTCCTACAGACAGATGGACATTTCGGGTTTTCCGGTTATTGACTATTATGAAGATGTTACAATGAACATTGTTGCCCACACCTCTTGGTACACGTGTGCAAGGTTGTTAGATACTCAAGCGGGAGTCCGAGTGGTAAGCCAGATCCCAAGGCATGCAAGAGCTCAACTTTGGGAGGTGGAGTTGTTTTCTGAAGCAGAGGTGTCTATTCACATGCCCGTATCATGCAAGTCCTCATAGACTTCTTTGGGATCCATCTCGTCAAGCTCCTTAATTTCTGCAAAACTTACAGATGTAAAATAGGATCTCACTGTGGTCTCAATTCATATTTCCCTGATTGCCAATGCTGTCAAACACCTTTTTTATAAGCCATGTGTATTTCCTCTTCTGTGAAATGCCTTTTCCGGTGTAATTCTGTCCAGAATTATTTTTTCTTAAACCTATTCTGCTTACTAACCCTTTGTCAATTAAGTGTATTACAAATATCTCAAGTCATGGCTTGTATTTTTGCTGCCTTAAATTGTTTATTAGCTTAACATCAGTCTTAAAAAACAGCTGGTCTAATCATCTTTTCTTTTATGATTAGTCCTTTCTGTCTTGAGGGATTCTTTCCTGCTCTAAGGCTTGTCCATGAGGGGAATGATTTTTTTTTTTTTTTGTATTTAAGAACTTAATATATTTGGAACTGACTGTTGGATTAACACATGAGGCAGAAATCAAATTTCACCTTTTCCCTTCGAATACACATTGTTCCGGCACCACATATGGGGTCACCTTGCCCGTCCTCCTGGATGCACCATGCCACCTCTGCCGTTCTTAAAGGTCAACGCATGCACTGGTTATTCTGCAGGCTCCTCGTTTCATGGCACTGCTCAGAATTCCCACCTCTGTACCACATACAACAGAAATTACTACCTTGTAACCTCTTCACATTTGGAAGCACTCAGTCATTCCCAGTCCTTTGCTTTTCCATATAAATTTAAATATCTGCTTGTCACATTGAACAAAACCTCTATTGTAATTTCTGTTGGAAATGGCACTGAATCTATATATCAATTTGGGGAGGTACGATCCTTAATATTCTTGTTCATGAACAAAAATAGCTCTTCATTTGTTCTTATCTTGCTTCTTCACCTTAATCCTCAAGTCCCAAGTCAGGCCTTCATCTAAGCATTGCCTTCCTGAAATATCTCTACTACCATCCCAACTATAGTAGGTTAAGTGTGTCTTTCATATGCTAACTTTTCAGGTAACCGTAAGAATCTAAACCAAAGATGATCCAGGCTGAGTGTGAGGTCTGATGCTGGCATGGTGGCACCATTCATCATGACTGAATTTCACGATTTGAGAGGAATGAGACGAGATATACTAGGTCTGAGATGTTCATCTGTCTTCCTGGCAGGGGCTGCTGGGTGTATGCTGTGCTCCTCAAGACATAGTTGAGATGGGGATATTGGCTCAGTGAGATTGCCCACTGAAATGACAGACACTAAGGAGGCCACTAATGACAGGCCCTTGAGGACACCAGGATTTTTTTTTTTAAGATTTTATTTATTTATTCATGAGAGAGAGAGAGAGAGAGAGAGAGAGAGAGAGAGAGAGAGGCAGAGACACAGGCAGAGGAAGAAGCAGGCTCCCTGCCTGGAGCCTGGTGCAGGACTCGATCTGGGGTCTCCAGGATCACACCCTGGGCTGAAGGCGGCACTAAACCGCTGAGCCACCGGGGCTGCCCGAGAACACCAGGATCTAAATGGGAGGAGGGAGATAAAAATCTATGAAAATGGCTGAGAAATTATCAAAAACACAGGACAGCCAGAGAGTGATGCCAAGAGGGAAGCAGGGAAATGAGAGTTTCAAAGAAGTGGTCTATTTTGTCCAAGCCCATGCAGATGACGATCCCTGGACCTAACCTCGAGAGGTCACTGACGTCAGAAGAGGCAGGTAAAAAACTAACTTCACAGGGTTCAGGATAGTACAGGGGAGAAGGTGTAGGACACAGCAGATACCTGGTATCTGCAAAGGCATGCCAGAGAGAAACAAAAACAGACTATGTGAGTTCAGCTGAGTGCAGGGAGGACATAATTATGGTTAAGGAAGCCACTCTATCACGTACTCAGCTGAGGGAAGAGATAGTGAATACTTAATGAAATCAGGAGACTCTTAGCAACTGTAATCCTGACAAGATACACTCAAATATTTAGAGAAGGTTACTCTTTCTCACAGAAGAATGTACCACCTGCTATAGAACATAAGTCTTCTAAGTATCTTGGGAAATCGAGTCCCATTCTTACGCATACATGAGCTAACTGTACCTCACAAAGCACATGGCTGTCTTCACTCCGACGGCAAGCGATGGCTGAACAGGTGCATTACTCGGTACGTCCACTGCAAATGCAGATGGTTCTTTTTCTGAATGTTTTCTCCCTCTGCCTCCAAGGCACCTGAATGTTCATCTGCTACAACTGCTTTGAAAAGCAAGGCCAGCTTACACCACGGGAGCCGAGGGCGAGGCCTGTCACGCAGATGAGCACTAATGGTTCAGATGACACAAGTAGCTTCCCTGCCCAGTCAGAGGGTAAATGGGGGTCTACTCCAGAAAGAGCGCCTCGTGCAGTTGATCCAGTCATCACCTGCATTTCCCTGGTATCTTCTCACAGTCTCCATTCATCTCTTCCCTTGCCAGGAAGGCTTCCCATGTGCTGAGCTGCAGGCACTACCCACTGAGCTCCACAGAAGCTACCATTTAGCAAGCATGTCCTGTGCACCAGATCCTATACTACGTGCCCTACATGCAACTCTTATTTATCTGCCCTTCAGGTCCATGGCAGAGGAACTGGTATCACTGCCCCCATTTCACAGACGGGAAGATAGTGTTGGAGAGTGTAAGTGATCTGCCCGTGTCACACAGCAAGTAAGTGGCAAAGGTGAAATGTAAATCCAGGTAGGTTTGACCTCAAAGCCCATGTTCTTAACCATTTCCCCCAAAATAACTAAAAGCAAGTCAATGTGCCATTCCTACACTGTAGGAGTTGGGTTGGTGCAGAAATAGGAGAATTAAGTGGAATCAATGCTGCTCATCTGCCCAACTCTGCACAGGACACCACAGCTCATTTGAGAGTTGCTCAACTCCAGAAAACAGCTAAACAATGGTAACTATCCTCAGCAGCCACTTTCTCACCCCACCTCCTTGCTTCCGCTCAGGGCAGGGAATGTGAAAACTAGAACACCACTGTGTTCTACCACACTAGGGCAAACAGCTTGGGCATTTATGAACCATCAACAGTGAGAGCAGGTCTTCTGCAACCATGTGATGGAGACTTTAGAAAATGAGGTCTTCCAGAGGGACAGTAGAGTTATACTTTCTTCCCTGGCAGAGTCTGCTGTTGTAACCATTTAGATGAAAATGCCCCATTTTGCACAGTGTGACTTTTGCCACAGGGCCACATTTTTCGATACATCTCTCTATTCAGCTAAGTTCCAGGCCTTTTTCTAAGGGAGCAAGAGAAAGAAAAAAAAAATAATAGGTGACCTCCTGGACCAGAAGTAAAAATGAAAAACGCAAGTCGACTTGCTTTGAAATGCAAAAGACCTTCATCTCCACCTTGTCCCATCCAGGAAAACCACGAGAGTGGGGGTTACTGCTCTTCATTTGAGGTTCTCTGGAAAGGAGCCACTTGCTTTCCAAGGACATAGGAAAGCCCTGCTCCTGTACAGGGTTCCACTGGACAGTCTTCCAAAGCCTGACACAGAGCAAATGTCAACCAGGTACGGCCGGGCTTGCATGTTGCTGTCACTGCTGTTAATTTTAAAAGGCACTCTAGACTATATTTTTTCAGGGATCCTTGAGGATAACAGAAAGGGATTAAAACAAAGAGTTACTCTGTATCATATCCCAGAATGGGTCCCAGCCATTTCTCAACCTCAGCCACAGACATGTTCTTCCTCAGAGCATAATCTTCAATCTGTAAAAGATTAAAAGCAGCATATCAAACCAAAATGATAAGACTTTCTGAAGTGAAGTTTCCACAGGATTTGCCAGGAAACATTAAAAGCCTTCCATTTCTTGTCTTAATAGCAATCTATTGAGTTACATGGAGATGGATATTTATCTATTCGCCAAGTTGCCTTATTCTCTGGGCAGAAAACAACAAGCAGTAAGTATCTGGTGCTTAGATGCTGGCTGGAGTGTGTGAATGTTGGGGGCTTAGAGGTGTAAATGGGAGGAAAGAATCAGGGTAACAAGCTGAAATCAAATTAAGACATTAACCATTAACTGGGGGTAAATTTCGTCATGCTTTCCCTTTGTTTTTATTCTCATTCACATGTAAAATAAATTAGGTTCTACAGTTCTACTTAAAACAAGACAGGCATTGGGGCGCCTGGGTGGCTCAGTCTGTTAAGTGTCTGCCTTCAGCTCAGGTCATGATCCCAGGGTCCTGGGAATCAGACTCCTGGCTCAGTGGGCAGCCTGCTTCTCCCTCTGCCCCTCCGCCATTCATGCATGAGTGAAAAATAAAATCTTAAAAAAAAAGCAAACAGACAAACAATATAGGCGTCTAGGGAAGCCATAAACAATGAAACCGCTAACTTACCTGGTCCTTGGAAATCTTCCCCACTGCAAAGTATTTGGACTTCAAATTGGAGAAGTAAAGGCCGGATACTGCTGAAGCAGGTGCCATTGCTAAGGATTCTGTTAACCTAATGCCTGGAGACAGCAACATGGGGGAAAAACGCAGATTCATCCCATGCCTAGCAGAGGGCCTGGTGGTTGGTAGCACCCAATAAACTCTTGTTTAGGAGGTAACAGGTGAATGAAAATGAGCTGACACCTTCTAGGTGGACACCCGACAGAAATTCAGGCCAGTGTCCTCTAATCCAGGGGGACAGGCCTGGCAAAGCCTGTCTGTCTGCCCCCACCACAAGACTCCAATACCAGTTACAGAGGTCTCCACATGCTCTGCAGTGCAGGCCTCTCAAGTAAGGAGCACCAGCCCTGGGAGGTGAGCACCATCTGGACCCCAGGCTTGTGCCACTAGGGATGACTGATAGTCGGGCCCTGAGAACGAGCCCACAGCAGTACTCAGAGGAAACACCGAGGCCAGCCAGTCCAAGCCATCCACCTCACGGACAGGGAACAGAGTGGTGCAAGGGTTAAACCTTTGCCGAAGATCACCAGGTAGTCTGTGGCAGGGAAGGACTCTAATCTGCATCTGACGGGCCTAGGAGTCCACACCATTCCTGCCAACTGCATCCGAACGCCCCAGTCTCTCACTGAGACATATGTTCCTGCCACCTCATGGGCACAGACAGCATGCTTCTGATGAGTTCCATGGAAACAGTTAATTGTGCTAATAAAGAGTAAAGGCCAAGACAGCGAAGAGCAGAGGGGTGTGGTGGGTGTTGCACAGAAGCAGTGTCGGGAGACATGGTCTGTGAGCAGAAGGAGGAGGTGACGTGACCTATGTCACTAAAGGCTGCAAAGGTCACTGATGGAGAAATTAAAGCAGCGTGCAGCAGGAGATGAGGGGCAGGGAGGGAGATGTGTGGGCAATATGATGTGCTAACTTCTCATCTGTTGCAGGTTAAGAGAAACTGTTCATTGCAACTGATTGATCTAAACATGGGCATGTGAGACTACCATTCAGTCACATGGATGTGAACTACCATGATCAACAGCTAGAAGGAGAGACAGTGGGATGTCATTCTAAGCCTGTCCCTATTTTAAAATGCTTAGCTCGGGTGCACTGTTGTGAGAGGAGCAGGCCTAGGAACCGCACAGGGGAGGACAAGGGCTCCCCAGCTCCTGGTACACACCTGTGCACTGTTCCACGTTGGCGAGCTTCCACATGGTGAGCTTCTCGCTGTGGTCAGGCTGGCTGGGGTAGCCGGGGGCTGGGCGGATGCCTTCATAGCGCAGCCTCCGCAGGTCCACGACATCCAGCTGCTCACAGCTGCAGTATGCCCACAGCTCCCTGCGGACCCGCTCGTGGAGCTCCTCCGCAAAGGCCTGCAGCCCAGGACAAGGTGTGCGTGGGCCACGGCGCTCCCCCAACCCAAACCCCACTGGCCATCAGACCCCGCTGGAGCACCCCCCTCGCCTGAACCACAGCCAGGAGGAACTGGGCACAAGGGGTCGGACTGGGTTCCTGACTCGCCTGTGGCTCTGTTGGCTGCTCTCTGCCCACTTGTGGCCTCACAGCCTGGGCTATGATGTGGCCTACTCAATGATCTGAGGACTTGAGGGCTGTGAACCGAAACAGTTCCCTGCTCGTGGCCATGAGGAGAAGCTGGGATGATTATAGCTGCCAGCTCCTCCTGCTTGGCCTCAGGAAAAGGAGAGGTGATCTCCCCATGGCTTAGATGACCCTGGCCACGACACAGGAAGATGAGCAATCTATGGAGGACAGCAAATGAGAACAAGGAGCCTGGACATAGAAATATGCTCTGATTTTTCTAGGTTCTTCAGGAAAAAATCACAACAAGCAAAGGGAGAAATCAGAACTGCAGCGAAGGGGTCATGGTTCTAAGGACAGCTACAAACTATAGCAAAGGCTTTCCTTTGCCCAAAAGATGACGTGTGAGAGCAACTCAAGAAGAGCTGATTTACAATTGTGTGTTATGAAGAAAATAAATAAATAAAAATTTAAAAAACAAAGTAAAATTGTGTGTGATGCTAAAGCCAGTCCCATCTGATTCGGTAAAAACAATAGCAGGACATGGATTCCAAGGGCTGCTTAGCATCTGGCACCGTCATGGGCTCCCCGCTCTACCCCCAGCGCCACTGCTTTACCTCAGCCAGCCGGTCTCCCAGAGCCTTGACCATGATGCTGCTGTAGTCATCACACTCCTGCTCGTAGGCCTTGCTCAGCTCTTCCACCCCAAAGCAGGCAACGGCAAAGAGGCCCAGGTAGTCGCGGACGCCCGAATGCAGGGGAGCAATGAAGTCGGAGAGGCAGTGGTAGGGGTCTGTGCTGGCAGAGTCCTTCTCGGCCTTAAAACCCAGGAGGGCACAGATGGACCATTAGCATGAACATGGTAACAACACACAGGGGACAGCAATCTAGGCTCTTTGGACAGATATAAGCTTCAAACAGAGATGTCTGTTTTGTTCACTGTTATACCCAGTACTTGGAAGAGCGCCTGATACGTAGCAAGTATTCGATAAATATTTGTTGAATCAACAAATGAAGTAAGATTCTAAAAAAATACATATGACATAACAGTCAAGAAACCACTGAATTTGCTCCTGCACACACTGAGTGAACATTTCCTGCATGCCTATAGGCTCTGTGCTAGCAACTGGAACCCCAAACATTCATATATAAAAAAAAATTTCCCCTGAAAGGTTTTTCACAATTTAAGATCAACATTAAATCCTGAAGTTATGGCCAAAAGGGATCCACCAAATGCATAAACCTCTACTTAGCATCATAGAAGCAGTTCAACAGAATTGTGGTGAGCAGCCCCGGGTCTGGTGCTGCCTGCCACAGTGGTGGCTCGGGAGACAGCTGGGGACACCCCTGGTCTGGCCTGATACCACAAGGAGAATCCAGCAGGTCCAGCTTCCGAGCGTCACCTCCAGGAGCCTGTCCTTGTCGGCTTCTCACTCCCAGCTGGTGACAGACTCTCTCCTGCCACCAAACTGACAAATAAGGTCACATACATATTTCACCATTGACAAATACTTGCTGAGCAGATAAAGAGCTAATGACTACTATTTACTGAGGGCTTACTATATGTCAGGCACTATTCTTGGGGCTTTACATGAATTTGCTAATTTCATGCTGTCAACAATGCTGTGATGTAAGTGATCCCATCAGCTCCATTTCACAGATGGAAAACCTGAGACAGCGCTCGATCTGCAAGCTCAGAGTCAGACAGTGGAAGGTCTGGGGGTAGGACACCACAACCCCCACTCTTGACTGCTGTATGGCCCAGAACTGATCAATTTATTGATAAGTGCCACACCCTGGAGGCTTTGGAGTTATTATCTACTTGCTGACTCTAGAAACAAGCATAGCCTGACCAACCGCAGGCAGAACGTGGTTAAGTGGCCAGGAGGTATTTGATAATGGACCCCAGAAAGGTCACAGAGCTCAGGGACAGCTATGCAGGGAGGAGCGGCTTTCAAGCTGTACTCTGTCCATCAACCATCCTCCACTGACAAAAGCCAGAGGGAGACACAAAGCTTCCAAGCACCACAAGGAGAGATGGGTCACAGAGCCCCACACAAAAGAGATGGCCACGACAGTGAGACAGAAGACTCCCAGAGCAATGAGAGGCTGCAGCGGAATCTTCCAGAGCACTGGAAGAAAGCACCTCCTCGGCAAGAGCTACCTGAATGTGCAATATATGCACATAGAGACGTCATCCTACTAGATGTCCTAACATAGTTGGCCACAGCCTGCCTGGTCATGAATGGTATTGGACGTAAAAACCAGGCCAGGGGGGCACCTGGGTAGCTCAGTGGTTGAGTGTCTTGTCTTCTTCGGCTCAGATCATGATCCTGGGGTCCTGGGATTGAGTCCTGCTTCAGGCTCCCCACAGGGAGCCTGCTTCTCTCTCTGCCTGTGTCTCTGCCCCTCTATGTCTCTCATGATCAAATGAATAAAAAAAGAAAAAGAAAAAGAAAAAGGAAGGAAGGAAGGAAGGAAGGAAGGAAGGAAGGAAGGAAGGAAGGAAGGAAGGAAGGAAGAAAAGGGAAAGGAAAGGGAAAGGGAAAGGAAAGGAAAAGGAAAAGGAAAAGGAAAAGGAAAAGGAAAAGGAAAAGGAGCCAGGGCAGAAGTCTGACACCTGAATTACACTTGCAGAAGAAAAGTCACCAACTCCTACAGATGCAGTAAAACGTCGGGACACCTGCACCCCGATGTTTATAGCAGCAATGTCCACAATAGCCAAACTGTGGAAGGAGCCTCGGTGTCCATCGACAGATGAATGGATAAAGAAGATGTGGTCTATGTATCCAATGGAATATTCCTCAGCCATTAGAAACGACAAATACCCACCATTTGCTTCAAGGTGGATGGAACTGGAGGGTATTATGCTGAGTGAAGTGAGTCAATTGGAGAAGGACAAACATTATATGTTCTCATTCATTTGGGGAATATGAGTAATAGTGAAAGGGGATATAAGGGAAGGGAGAAGAAATGTGTGGGAAATATCAGAAAGGGAGACAGAACATGAAGACTCCTAACTCTGGGAAACGAACTAGGGGTGGTGGAAGGGGAGGAGGGCGGGGGGTGTGGGTGAATGGGTGACGGGCACTGAGGGGTACACTTGACGGGATGAGCACTGGGTGTTATTCTGTATGTTGGCAAATTGAACACCAATAAAAAATAAATTTATTATTAAAAAAAAAAAAGAAAAGTCACCAACTCACTAGTGAGGAGGGAATGTTAACATTGGAGCCGGCTGCCTTGTGTTCTGTGGGGTCGGAGCCTGGGTGCAGATGGAGTGATGTAGCCGTCCTCCCTGGTCTTATGATGATATTATTGAATGTCCTCAAGTTAAGAAACCCTTCAGATGCTGTTACAGTTCAACTCTGTCATTACAAATTACTTGTTGGGCATGACTAAAAGCAACATTATTGGGTTTTTTTTTTTGTGTGTGTGTGTGTGTGTATGTTTTAAGATTTTATTTATTTATTCATGAGAGACACACACACACACAGAGAGAGAGAGTAGAAACACAGGCAGAGGGAGGAGCAGGCTCCCTGCGGGGAGCCCAATGGGGGACTCAATCCTGGGACTCCAGGATCACACCCTGAGCCGAAGGTAGACGCTTAACCACTGAGCCTCCCAGGCATCCCAACACTATTGCTTTTGAATGACCAAAATCGGTCACAGAATTTTGCAGGGGAATTTACTACAACTCTTTGTTAATGGCTCTGGTGAGTTCTGGCTCCAATTCTGGATGAGGACAGCTATTTTTCATCGTGACTATAGAGACCCGCACATGCTCTTTGCATTCTCCCAGGAAGGGCCACAGGACAGGCAGCCATGTGAAGTGCCTGTTCTCACCACACCGACGGAAGCCCGGGTGGTGAAGGAACAGCCACCAGGTGTGGACAGGCTGGCCTCTCCCCAGCTCCATCAGCCTTCAGTTCCCCTGCCCTGCAGAATGGACACACAAACTGCCTACGACAAAGCTGTGTGGAAAGTCAACAAGACAATCCATCTAGTACCCAACTAAGCATCTGGCACCTCAGACTTTCAGGAAAGGTGCATTCCCACCTGTCTTCCCCTTGAGAGAAGGAGCCACTGGCCTATTTTAATCATAGGTGTATTCACAAACCCATTATTTTTGATCAAGGAAATGTCCATCTGTGTGTGACCACCGATGTAGTAACACCATTTACCACTCACCTGTCCAACACCCATCAAACAGCCCTCTCCTGCTGGTGCCCCAGGACCCAGCCTCTCAACCCAGACTAGCTTCTTCTCTCTGTTGTCCTCACAAATGCATCAGCCTTGGGCCTCCTGTGAGTGGTCATTTGGGGTGAGGTGGGACAGACCTAGCATTTATACATAGCTGTGACTTAACTTAATTCTTATATATATATTTACATATATATTTATATTTATATATATATATACATACATATATATATATATATATATATATATATATATTTTTTTTTTTTTTTTTTTGTAGCACAGTCACTGTCAGCATGGCTCTCTATACCTGCTGCCTTAGCCCATGGAAGGTGGCTATGGGCTCTGTGGCCTGCGGCGCTGCATCCTCTGCGTACAGGTGAATGTCGTCTTGCACACTCTGCGCTGGCCAAAACCCTACCACGCCCCTGGCTTGCAGCTTCTTCTGACTGATGAGCACTTTCAGCATGTTTTGGGCATCATCATAGACTTTTTTGGCCTCTTCGCCTATTAGGAAAACATGGTAAGAACTCACTAAAAACTGGCAATGATAGAAGTGCCTGGGTCGCTCAGTGAGTTAAGTGTGTGTCTTCAGCTCAGGTCATGGTCCCAGGGTCCTGGGATCGAGTCCTGCATCGGGCCCCCTGCTCAGTAGGGAGCCTGCTTCTCCCTCTGCCTCTACCCCCACTTGTGCTCCCTCTCTCTTTTTTTCTCTCTCACAAATAAAATCTTTAAAAATACCAATGATAGCCAGCAAGAAACATTTCTTTCTGAAGCTACTACCCCTCCTCAGCTATCCTCTCCTGTCCCCCTCTTTCCCCTCAAATACGTCACTGGTGCTTGTGAGCACTGAGTATTAAGGGTTTGGGCTGACTGCAGTGCCCCTAAATGCCTCTGTTCAACAGAAGGCAGAGAGCCCAGCCTGGAGATTCCAACACAGTCTGTCAGAGAATGAAACAAAGCTGGCCAATCCTCCCATCACCAACCTTGCTCGTGCACCCATCACTCCACTACCCTCTCATGGCCTTGGGGGCTGTGGAACAGGTGGAGGGAAGTGTGGCCCAGCTCCCATTACGTGGCTTCAGTGTTGCATCTGGGTGGTTGTCACTGCATGGCGGGTGTCAGGCTCCTCTCAGCCCTAATCCCATGTTCCTAGCAGCCCACCCCTCCACCTTGCTCTTCTCTGGCTCTTTTCTAACCCACTGTGACCCCATGGCTCTGGGAGTAGGTAGTGGGGGTGGGGCTTGCAGTTTATCAGCTCGCTCAGTACTCTAGCTTCTCACCTCCCCCAACCAGTGCTCCCGACACAGTGGACTCCTGGGCTTTCCCCAAATAGGCGCAGGTGACTGTGCCTTCCCATCCTGTGTCCGCTGCCCGGGATGCCCTTTTCTCCAATCCCATCTCACATCTCATATCCCCAGTCCCAGTGCTTCCCACTTAATCTTCAAAAAGCACTTCAAACACCACCTCCCTCAGGAAGCCTCTCTTGACCTCCCATTCTGAGGCCTCATGTCTCCTGTCCACAAAAGCCCTGGGCTCAGCCCTGCAGCAGGAGCTTGGTGGGCTCTACAGGAACTGCCCATCGCTGGCAGCTGTACATGCCAGGAGCCATGCACCAGAGGGCAGGGTCACACCATTACCTTCTGTTAATCCCTGGTGTCCAACACAGAGCCTGCCTTGTGACTGAGGTCAATCTGCATTTATCGCAGAAGAAATAAACAAAATGCCAAATTATCCCATAAATAAAGGACCAATCTAGCAGCTTATAACCACTGAAGAGCTGAATAGGTAAACAATACTCTAGTTACACATGAGATGATAACAATACAGTACATCCTACAGAATCCAAACCCTTTGCTTACCACCCATCCTCATTTTCAAAGTCCCAACACTGTCTCGAATAGCCAAGCAGAAAGGAAGGGCTGAGTGAAGGGTTAGTTCTAACCTACAGCTTTGTCCTTAAATATCTTGGGAAAGCTTCGATTTGGGTATTTGCCCCGGAGCTGCCAGACATCAAAGAAGGGTTTCCAGTCGATGTAGGCCACCAGCTTTTGCAGGTCGTAGTCTTCAAAGACTCGAGTCCCAAGGAACGTGGGCTTCACTGTAAAAAGAAGTACTGATGTAGCTGCCAGTGCTAGTAGGGGGGCCTAGTACACACTTGCTCGATGCCTTCCCGCCAGCTCTTCCCTGCTCTGGGGCTCCCACACACTCCCTCCCACCTGTTCTACAAAGTGCAGAATTTTAAATTATCACAGAGAAGGAATAATTCCTGTAGCAAATCTTAAATCAAACCACTCTTCCCAGGCAGCTGACTTCTCTACACCACCCCTTGGAAATTCTTCCCTCAGCCCTTTTTCTAAGAGAAAAGACTTGGGTTCCTCTTCGCTTGCACAAATGAAGACAATAGTACCATAGATGCCACTACAGAAAAACACAAATATAAGGAAAATGCATGGAAACAAAGCATCAAATTCAGGATCCTGCATGGGATGGAGAGGCACTCAGGCAACTTCCACTATGTTTGTGTTGCTTCGTATTTTTTAAAAAATGGGCACCAGGTTATTTCCCAGGTGGCTAGGGGTATACATGGGTGTTTAATATACTGTGTTTACACCCCTTTGTGAATCTAAAATAGATCAGGAGTGAATTAATGACAAAGAATTCAGAAGACAGATGGTTCCCCGGGGCCCTCTGTGACACCACAAGCTGCACTACTTCACCCCGCCCCTCCCAAGCCCACAGTGGGGTCAGGCTGAGTCCAAGATGATGACCACTCCACCAGCTTCCTGGACCCCATGTCCCCAGTTCCCTGCTCTGTAAATAGGATCAGAGAACTTACACTCTCCTACTCACCTCAGGTGCTCTGGGATAACACCAGAGTCTCGAGAGTATTTTTGTGTCACAAGATAGTAAGAGGTAGACGTGAGAGGGAGACACAGGGAAAGTATGAGCTGCTTCTTAACTTTTGCCTAGAAATCTCTATCCTTTCACACATGCTCATAGTAGTGCTTCTCATTTGTGGCTGGCCATCTTTTTACTATGCAGAACAAACTCTTCTGCATAATATCCTATCGCGTTGATTTGTTTGACAATTAAGAAAAAACTACCGATTTCTGCTGATGAATGCTCCTCTTGCCTGGAAGGGCAGGAGAAATGCTCCACTGTCGTCACTGAAGGATGCTATTCTAGAATTCTACCACCAAGGACTTTGAGAGAAGAGCCCTTTTTTCTTCCCTTTACTGATTTCCTGCGACTACTCTAAGAACAGGTCATCCTCTGAAACATCTACCGCAGGGGCCTCACTGCTCCTCAGGCAGCGGCCTCACACTGGGGACAGATGGCTATTTGAACAGTATCAACACTGCTGCCCTGCGCCATGAGCCTTTGGAACACTGTCTCTGCTGAAGCGTGTTGGATGTTCGACTTAGTTAAAATGGGACTTTCCCTTGTGCTATTTTTCTAATTTCATAAGTGAAAGGTAAAGGGAAAATAATAGTTGGACTATACAGTGACTTACATTTTTCAAAAGTTGATCATCTTTTATCCTCACAACCTACATAGGGTAGTTCTTTTTTACACATCAGGAACTGTCAAACATGGACATAAGACACTCAAGGTCATTCAGTGACAGGAGTAGAACATGGACCTCTGGACTTCTGATGTGGGGTTTCCTACTAAACCACACTGAACTCAGTAGGCCTGAAATTAGAACCAAGCTCTCCCACATTTCTAACCTAATGCCCTCAGCTCTGCTGAGCATGTACAGAACACAGATGTTGCGAGCACTGAGAGCAGATTTGAGCTATTACCTTGGAAATACAGATTCAGTGACTACAACCCCTGTTCACCCTGTGGCAGTCCTGCATTTGTACCTTATGCTTCTCTGAGCATGTCAAAATATCTTCTGTATTTGGCTCCCTCATGAACACCTCAGTAAGGCAAGAGAGGTGGCTGGAAATAAGAAAGGGAAAATATAGAATAGAGGGAAGCATTCTGAGAGAGAATGGGAGTGAATAAGAAACAGGAGCTTTTGCTTTGCGGTAATGTTCTCCAGGTCTGTTCAGGGTGAGGGCATCTTTAATCTCAGACACTCCCTGTCTGCACCAGGGCCTGCCCTGTGACCCAGGCCACCCAGGGACAGCACTGCCCAGGCAGGTCTCCAGGGCTCATGTCAAGCTGCAGGGGGCCACTCAAGCCCCACATAGAGAAAGGACAGAGTGTGGATCAGAGGTCAGACCAGAGATAGGATCCCAGTGACCTTTCAAGCTCTTACCTGAAACTCAGGATCTTCACATGTGAGTGGGGCTAATAGCACATTCACTACAGACCCATGTCAAGCTCTCAGAACTGCTGTGGTCAGTCTCGGGACCCCGTCTGGTCCTCCACAAATGGTACCCATGTACTTTTATTTTCAGTCACCACTGTCCTGCATCACTATTATCAGACACAATGAAGAGTCTCTAGCTGCCTATGTGATTCTGTAGCCAAGTCAATGCAAACACCTCTCCAGCTCACATTATCACACATGCCCTCTCTCTCTAACCCACAGCCAGACCAACCTGGAGGCGGCTCTGACAGCCAGTCAATATGGAAACCATTTTTTCTAGCTTGACTTAAGGTTAAATATCTTCTCTCCTATGAGAAAAAGAAAAGTTATTTTAGTCAGAGACTCTTAGCTTTTCAGCTGCTATATGAAAGTATGTCCAAAAACCTAGTATATGACTTTTGTAAAAAAAATAAAAATAAAAAAACAACAACCCACAAATGCTTTAATTAATTTAAATTCATATCATCAAAAGCTCTTCCTTTTCCACCCAATATGGCTTTACATCAGCACCAGAATAGAGAGTGAAGATTCAGCAAATACCCATTAAACATTGATACACAGACACAAGGCTGGCCTGAACCCTTCACCAGGTGGGTAAAGCCTGGCAAGGGACCAGGGTCCTGCCCGGGCTTTTGGAGCACCTGAAGCCAGGGTTAACGGGCCCTGCTGCCAACCAGCCCAAGGACCTGAAGGCAGAACTAAGAAACTGTCAACTATGGATGGACCTCAGGAGACCCAGAAAGCCAAGCATAGCATCTTGCACTAGTCAACACCTCAGAAATACCTGTTCTCTTCATGATGCTTGTCGTCTCCTTTTGTGCACCTAGCCACCCCCAAAATGTACCCCGTACCCCACCACGGACAAGGTCCAACAGGCAAATGGACTGGGAAGAATGGACTTCTCAGGAGTAATTAAGCCTGCTCTCTAAGGATTCCCTGCAGCTTCTGTAGAGAGTGTCAGTTCCTGAAACACTGCTCTGCACAGTCTACATTACGCTGGAGGGAGACAGGCTGACAATGGTCCCCATATGCCATTTCAGTTTCTGTGTTCCTGCTGGGTATGTTTTACATGTTCTCATAATTCTGCTATGTGGCACAGCACCTAACACCTACTGTGTACCCCATAAATGTTTAGTAGAATAAATGGAATTAATTTTAGTATCACCCCACATTACTGGAAACTTAGACACCAGAGAATTCCAACTTGAACTAGAAAACAGGGCTTCTCTAAAATGATCCTAAACCTTTGCCCTCCTTAAAACAATAAAGTCACATAAAAAAATGCAGGACCGTTTTAACGCCCAAACTAGCAGGGACCTGTTTTGTCACTTACCTTGAGAGATTCGTAATGGTCCTGTCTAATATCTTCATATTCTTCCATGATCTCCTCAAAATATTCATCCTTCAGATTCTCATCTAATAGTTGCGAGCACTGAAAATGCAAGATGAAGTTCAAGAACCACAGAGGAGTAAAAAGAGACAAACAAAACATGAGCAACCCTGGTCATTTCTAGTGATGCCTCCTTCAGGAAGCTTTCCCTAGTTAACACCACTCACTCTCTCTTCTCTAGCTCCATTTATTCCCACTGGGCTGTGCATCAGTAGACCAACAATGTCCAACTCTCATACACCCCAAGAAAGGCCTGGCTCTGGATGGCTCCTGAGAGAGAAGCTCTAAGCCCTTGTAACATCCTGCCTGATAAGAAAGTCTTTGTCTACTTGGAGCCCTGGGCCACCCCAGATAGTTTATGCTAACAATGTGATCCTGGCGGGGGGACGTGGCTTATGTTATATCTATCTGACCTCTAGAGTAACTAAGGCCAGTCAGGTGCTTAAAGCATTCCATTCTTCCAGGACCGACTGCCTGTAAAAGCCTGGATACCAAGGCTTGGGTGAGCTTCTCTAGTCAGTGATGCTCCGTACATGGTGTCCTACAGTGCAAGGGTCACGTACTGTCCGTAGGACTCCACTAGGGCAGGACAGCTGGAAGCTGGTTCTTGGTCTTTCTTGGATTCCACCCTTTGTATCTTCTGCCTTTGGTGATTTTAAATCTGTATCCTTTCATGGCAAGACAGCATGATTGTGTGTATAACAATGTTTCTGAGTTCTGTGAGTTCTTTTGGCAAATCGCTGAAACTGAGGGTGGTCCTGGGGACCCACACAACACACTAGTTAGGTACTGCTCTCTTGTGTTTCAAAGATGCTCAGTGCATCTCTCCATCACTGCATTCCCCAGCAACTTGTAGTATCTGTGTATCTACTTGTCTCTATAGAGGACAAGCCCTTGGAGGGCAGGACTATACCTAAACCACCTTTGTGCCCCCCGTTTCTAGCTCTGTGTCTGGCTCATACAAGGTGCCTCCTTCCTAAATGTCTGCTGAAGGAATGAGGTAAACAATCTTCACGGTCAACTATGAGCTTCTGCTAAGAAAAGAAAAGAAAAGAAAAGAAAAGAAAAGAAAAGAAAAGAAAAGAAAAGAAAAAGAAAAGAAAAAGAAAAGAAAAGAAAAGAAAAGAAAAGAAAAGAAAAGAAAAGAAACGAAACCCATCATCTGAGAAATGTGAGGTGACTCAGTAAACTGTAAAATGAGGATCAGCTAAATATCATTTAAGAGTGGGATTATCAAGGTAGTGGAAGAACAGCCATCACCAAAGCGCAAAATACAATTCTAAAGAAAGAAGAAATGGTTGCTGATCACCATCAGTTCAAAGCACTGAGATGCCCCATCTCTGCAGCCTCTAGCTGGATCTTCCAATACAAGTGTTCGGAAGTTCAGTATCATTATATGAAACTGACCAGGTTAGACTGGACGATGGCTGAAGTGCCCACTGGCTTGACACATCCATAATTCTACATGAATGTCGAAGTATCTCTAATAGCCATCCAATCCCCTAAGAGTTCGTATAAAGTCAAATCACTTGAAGGAACTTAGTCAGAGAAGACCACCATGGCAAGCCTAAAAATAGGCTCCTGAATGGTATTCACACCACGAAGTACTTCCCAGCCTTACATCAACATGAGCTCAATGGAGACCTCATTTAGGAAAGCCTGCGAAACCAAATGAAGACAGGGAGGGGATGCAGACCCTTGAGCTCCCTAAAGTACATGGAACCAGCGTTTTAAAATATTGTTTAAAATACCACATTCTGCTAGATTTTAGACTCTGAGAAAGCAATACCCTGTTTTTCTAAACATCCAAGGAACTTTTAACAGTATTTGACACAGCTCCCATTGGGTAGACAGAGCACACCATGGTCTGTGGCACTGTCTACACCCCATGAGGCCCTAGTTGCCAGAGCCACAGTGACCAGCCCATCCCTGTCCATTAAATCTTGCTTGATGTAAACAAGCTCATGGCCTATTATCTGGGCTGATCTTCGTGATGTTTCCACCACAAAATCAGAGCTCATCGTGGGTTTCCACGTCAATCATTCAGACATGTTTTATTCTTTTATTCTTCGTGACAATGACAGCACAATGAGAGGGAATAAGGTGAAAATATATTTTATAATTTAGAAAGAACTAAATATTGGCACCTCAGTTTCTACTTAAAAAGAAAGGAAAGGGGCATCTGGGTGGCTCAGTGGTTGAGCATCTGCCTCAGGCTCAGGTTGTGATCCCAGAGCTGAAGATCTCAGGTATTGTGACTGAGTCCCACATCAGGCTCCCCACATGGAGCCTGCTTCTTGCTCTGCCTATCTCTCTCTGTGTCTCTCGTGAATAAATAAATAAATCTTTAAAAAAATGAAAAGAGGACAGTCCCGGTGGCACAGCGGTTTAGCGCTGCCTACAGCCTGAGGTGTGATCCTGGAGACCCAGGATCGAGTCCCACGTCGGGCTCCCTACATGGAGCCTGCTTCTCTCTCTGCCTGTGTCTCTGCCTCTCTCTTTCTCTATGAATAAATAAATAAAATCTTTTAAAAAAATAAATAAAAAGAAAGGAAAGAAAGCTGGGGCATCCTGAGATCTAAAGCTCCAACGGTCACATAGTTGCCACATTTTGGAATTTTCAAATGCTTGACCCAATGGTCCAGAGCATGGGCCTTTGCCATACCCACTGGAGTTGGATCAAAAAATTCTGAACCAGGGCACCTGAGTGGCTCAGTTGGTTAAGCATCTGCCTTCAGCTCAGGTCATCATCCTGGGTCCTGGGATGAAGCCCCACATTGGGCTCCCTGTTCAGTGGGGAGTCTGCTTCTACCTCTCCCTCTGCCTCTCCCCCAGCTTGTGCGCACTCTCTCCCTCAAATGAATAAAAAAACAAGTAATTTGAAAAAATTTAAGACTCTGAACCAACAATCAACCTAAATGAATTATACTACTGACTCCTGAAAAGTGTCATCAGCCATCACCCAAATGACTTATCATTGCACTTACATTTGAGTCATTTCAGAAGGTGGCCATTTCTTTGTATATGAGAAGAGCCAACCACTGCTGGCTGTCCAGCTAGACCAACTGGAAAGAGCACAAGTGTCCATGTCTCATCTGGCTTTCGGGTGGGCCCTTACTGCTTTAGCTCTGCATGACAGTGAAGGAGTGCCCTCAAAATGGAATCCAGAGGCCAGTTCCTTCCCAGCCAAAGTCCTCCACCTGCCCATGGGGGCAACGCTACCAGTGTATACTTGATGAGGGCCAATGGCCTGGTCTCCAAATGGGAAATGTTCAGTGATTCATTAGCATTTGAAAATAGCAACAAGCCTTAAAAAGAGGCCCATTGGTTACTCAACCATAAACTCAATACAAGCTCCTTATATGAAGCACAATTCAAATATGAGATTAAAAAAAACTGTTTTGAAATTGTAGAAACATAATTTATACATCAGTCTATGTCAATGGCAGATAAAAAACTGCGACTTTATGATTCTAGTCTGATTTCATTATATTCTTTATAATAAAGGAGAATCACTAAATATTAATGAAAGCAAGTTTAACGTGGCATAGAGTAAGACTTGCCTTCACACCGCACACCTGCCACTTGATGAATGTGTGGCCTCAAGAGAGGTACTAACCTTTCCATTCCTGTGTCCTCATCTCTAAAACAGTAATAATTAAAGTATTTGCTTCATGGGGATTAAAAAAAAAATCCATGTAAAGCACTTAGCACAATGCCTGGCATACTACCAATTTCCAATAATGTTAGCAATGATTGTTCAACTTCCATATAAATGAGTTCACACATCTGGGAGGATGCCTTTGGAAAATGGGAACTGTGGTCACCGGAGTTCAGGCTGCATGATGTCACCTGGCAGCCTCACAAATCACCAGACCCCTGGGCAACTTTCCTGGCCTGTGAATGCGAAGGCTGGGCTATATTAGCAGTTTTTAATTGTGCTTTTTTGAGAACTAGGTGTGGGATGAAGGACAGAAGAGGCTGCTCTTACTCATACTGTACTGTACTGGAAGACAAGGTTTCTGTGGCTAAAACAAACTGGGCAACCATAGGACCACATGGTCCCTCAGATTCTCTCCCACTTTATTTCCTGTTATATGATGAAACAATGAAACAGAACAATGAGAGAGGATATTAGGCTTTACTGATGGAGAAAAGCATATAAACACACACTCAGGTAAGTTGTATACTACATTCACTGAGCAAAAGCATCTAGTATTCTGCGTTTTGGACATCGAGAGAATGTTTTTCTTTTGTTGGGTAGGGTTAACTAGTCTGTTCCCGGTCAAATGTCTTTCTATCTGGAAATAGGTCACTTTTTAAAAATTCCACATTCCTTTTAGCTCTGGCTTAGAGTTAAGACAGTATATATTCATATTTGTAAACGCATGTAAATGGCTGGAACCTTTCTCCCTCCAGGCTGGTGTGTCAAGGTCATGCATCTTGGTACCATGTCTCTTACTCAGACCAGCATTCTGGTGCTGGCTCAGGACGTGGTCTTCAAAAGCACAGGGCACTCTTGCCTGGCCACCCTGTTCCAGCAACGGGGGCAGTGACACCATCCAAAGCTATAGGCTCTTCTTCTACATTTTTTAGTAGATTTGAACAAAAATTAAAGATAATCTTGGGAAATACCCTTAACTCTCAATCTTCTCTTCTACAACATATCTGAAATAATGTAAGGCCCCACACTTACCACCACCACACTCTTGGATGCATCCAGGACATGGATTACAGGCGCACTGTATCTTGGAGCTATTTTCACTGCTGTATGGGTTCTAAAAAGAGGGGTCAGGAAGAAAAACATATCCATCAGCGCTGACAGTTCCTACACAACACTTGTTTGGAACCATTAGAGACAATATGTTTCTACACAGTGCTTTCCAGAGGAAGACTTTAAAGTAGTTACAAATACCGAACTTCACATTTCCCTTGTAAAACAAGGGGACTTCCTCCCCACCATAAGATGGGGAAGCCAAGGGGAGAAGACATGGGTTTGTCGGCTCAGGCTACAAAAAAGTCTATACCAAAATGCGGAAGATTTTGTCCTCAGCTCTCTGCCAATGGGAACGAGACTGTGACCTCATACTCATTAGTAGCCTACCTGAACTGATGGCGCTAACCAGCCCAGGCAATTGCACTTTGCTGCCATAAAGGTCAGGCTGAGTTTCTTCCTCCAAATAAGTTGGGACAGCAGCCAGGGCCCTGGGGAACCAGACACCAGACAACAGGCAGGGGACGCATGCACTAGCTGCTGTTCCCCATTCCTGAGGGACACTACCACTTCCCGGCTCCAGCCCCACGAAGTAACACAGAGAGAGGCAAAAGCAACAACAACATTTTATGCTAACATGGGGTCAGCCCCAAACCTAAGGGGGCAGGACTCTTCCCGGAATCAGATGCTTTCATATTTTTCCCCCTCATCTAACATGCATTTTCCTTTGGAAAGATGTCCAGGATATGCTACTACGTGGGGGGGAAAACAAAGTAACGGAACAGTATGTTTAATACAACTCTGTTTTTGAAATAAACAAACACTGCCACCCTTAACCTGCCCTGACCTGCCAACCTTACATGTAAGTTTCTGTATATTTAGAAAAAGAGAGAGAGATACACATCCGGTGTCAATGCTGCTTAAAAAGAAGTTGGAGGTGGAACTGAAGGCAGGGAGAGACTAAATTTTACTTTACATTCCTCTGAAGTGTTTGACATGTTCTATTAATAAGCATGGATTACTGAGGTGACTTTTAAAAACCAAGAGAATATTAAAGGCACAATAGTATATGTGAACATGTTCTTAAGAGGCTTCTCAGGGATGACTAGAAATTTGGTTATAAAAAGACAGACAAGACCCTGACATTTGACTTGCCCCCTTTCTACAGGTAACTCCATACATGGATAGGAAGCAGGGCCCTAAAGCCCAAAGTCACAAGAACTGAGTTTTACAACAGACGTGCAGGCCTAAGGTCTGCAAGTTCAAGAGACTCTTTTGGCCTGGGGGTTAGGGTACAAAGCAACAGGAGGAGTCAGACCATGGCCCCGAAGCAGCCACATGAACTCTCCTGCTTCCTGAGGATAATGTTTGGTGACCACTGTGTGCTCCAGGCCCAAAGATTTGAAAATACCTTCGGTATTCTACAAGGTGGAGATTTTCAAACAGTAGGAATAGTTTGTTGTTGTTGTTGTTGTTTTAAGATTTTTTAAAAATTTATTCATGATAGACATAGAGAGAGAGAGAGAGAGACAGAGACACAGGCAGAGGGAGACGCAGGCTCCATGCCAGGAGCCCGATGCAGGACCCGATCCCGGGATTCCAGGATTGCACCCTGGGCCAAAGGCACGCGCTAAACCGCTGAGCCACCCAGGGATCCCCTAAGAATAGTTTTAAAGCAGAAACTGCTTCCAGTTTCTCAAGAGAACATAAGTGAGACTATGCTTTCTTCCTCTTCCTTCAGCTGGTCAGCTCTTAGAACATACAAATACACCTCAATATATTTTCTGCTTGAAGTTCTGCTAGGAAACTATAAGCCTGAGGTGATTTAGTGGACATTTCTCTTAAAGGGAACCAGTACAGTTTTAAATCTTAAAAGTCAACACAGTTAATATTTATTAAACATCCAATGATTCCCAGTGAAATTCTGGCCATTCTCTCATGGATGATCACTATTTAAAAACAATACCAACAACAACAACAAATAAAATCAAAGTGCTGCCTTCTAGCACCAAAAAAACAAAACAAAACAAAACAAAACAAAAAAACAAAACAAAGCTAAATGAGCACAGACATGATCTGAACTGGCCCAGCCATCAAGAGTACTTCTGGTTTCCTTATAAAATGACATGACATTGATTCTACTTTCTCCTAACTTCCATTTGTGCAACCTTCTCCAGCTGGAAGCAGAATTTTTTCAGAATCTGAAAGGACATAAAACACTGGAATCTCTCCTCCCCTCCTATAGACATGTCGGGCCCTGAGGGTGAATGTCAGCTCTACCTCTGCTAAGTCCCCCATCAACATTGGTGATTCAATGAGTTGCCCCTTCACCTATACTTGCCAAATGGGCATGACAGTGTTAACTTTGGAAGCTCTTTTTTAAAAACTCTGAAAAAGAACAAGTAATCCAAGAATTTTTTTCATGTCTTATCCTTCCAGAATTCAAATGTTCTACATAAATACAGCATGACCAAAAAAAAAAAAAAAAAAAAAAAATCCTCAGAATTTAACGAGAGAAATGAAGAGTCAGAGGAAACAAAGATGGGAGACAATCAGCAGTGGGGTCAGATGCAGAAGTCAGGTCCATGCAATCCTCCACCTAGGCCTGAACTCCAAGCTTCCCTGCAGCCAATGCAAGGAGGAAAACAATGTGATTCAGCATCTTACCCCTAACAATTAAAAACCCAAAACTCAGAAAATTTCCTCTCTCTTTGAGCAATGTGACTTCCTTTTGAATTTTCCACTATTCACAAAAGAATAACTGAAAAAGACACAGAGCAGTTATTGGCTTTAAAGCATTTAAAAAATGAGAGCTAGAATGGTGCTTTTGAGAAGTTGTGCAGCTAACAGGGCCAGATTTCCGTTCAAGTCATTTCTAGCTTGTGATACAAGCACATCTTGTCTCTAGCATTAGAGACATGAGAATATTTCATTTTCTATCCTCTCGGAGCTACAGGTTAAAAAGGGAACTCCAGGCGTATTTCCAGGAACACGTGATGCCAAGTCTATATAGCCCTTTCAGCTTCTCCCAGGATCTGTCAGTCACCCATAAGGCTCATTGCAAGAATCCTGGGAGTACTGTTCTAATTCTATCATGTCACCACAGGCCACTGAGATCTGGAAAAGCCAGGGAATAACAGCCCCTCGTCTTCTTTCATGACAACTTGAAAGTCCTGAGTCGCCATTTACTCAAAGAACAATTAGCAAAGGGAAAAAACAGAACACGGCTACACTCCCAATAGGTCTGTAGCAGGTAAGAATAAGAGCTCAGAGGGCTTCTGAGACATCCAAACTCTCATTGCCTTCCAGCAAAGCTGACTCTCCCAGGGTGAGAAGGTTTTCTTAAATACAAAAAGCACTAACTGTAAAGAAAGAGACTGATAAAACAGACTTTATGAAAATTAAAAACTTTGTGACCCAAAAATACAACTAAGACAGCAAAAAGCAAGCCATGATGGAAGAATCTTTTTTTTTTTTTTGATGGAAGAATCTATTTGCAATATGTATTTCTAATGAAAGGGCTTGCGTCCAATATAAAGATATATATCTATATATATATATCTATGTGTGTGTATATATATATAGATATATAGATCATTTATAAAAGAATCAGTCAGGAAAAAAAGGGGCAGAATACTCAATTAAAAAAAGACCTAGAAAGCATATTCAAGTGGTCAACATATGCATGAAAAGGTACTCAACATCATTAGTCAGCAGAGAAGTCCAAATGAAAACCATACCAAGATACTGTTATGTACATACTAAAATTTAGGATAAAATTGCAAAGGGTGTGGAATAACTGGAACTCTCATGATTGCTAGTGGGAGTGTAAATTAATACACTCACCTTGGAAAATTACCCTGCAACATCTAATGCTGATGATCATACCACAGGACCCAGCAAGTCTCCTTCAGTGCACGAATAAGAACACAGTAGCATTCCATGAAAAAGCCCCAAACTGGAAAAACCCAATGCCCCCAACAGTAGCATGGGTAGTAAAGGCTTAGTATACGATACCACAGAATATTCTATATACCACAGTGGAAAAACAACTACTATAACCACCAGTCTGGGCCTCACAGGCTTAATGGTGCACAAAATTAGCTGGACATGTGAAGAACACACACAACAGGATTCCATTTGTATATGAAGCTGAAATGCAGGCAAAACCAACCTATGGTGATAGGAGACAGAACAGTGGTTTTGTTGTTGTGAAGGATGACTAGGTGGAGGAACCTAGCAAAGTGCCCAGAGTGCTATTAATGTTCTATTTCTTTATCTAGAGGTGTTTATAGAGGGCATCCATTTTTGTAAAACTTCATCAAGTTGTAGATCTCTGATTTGTGTATTCTTCTGCATGACTGTTATATTTCAGTAACAGGGCTTAGCTAATAAGAGGGCTTGATTAAGCAGGATTAAATGAGGCCTCACCCACTGTCACTACTTTAAAATGGAGTCAGAATAGGGAGTTCTACACTGATGTTCTCAGAGATTGCACAGAAATCTCCCACAATGGAGAAGGGAATGGGTATCTGGAAGCACTGTGACTGGCTTTTATTTTCCAAATAATTTCCCAAAAATTAAAATAGGCATGAAGAGAGAACAGAACGAGAAAAGGCAGAGCTCATATGGAATTAAGGCAACTGGAGTGCTGATGGAACTTCACATGGTCTTGTGACCCGGATTTCCACCTTTGGGGAGGATCACATCGCCATTTCCCAGACCCTGAGAAAAGAAGTTTTCCAACAGCAATGGAGATACAGTTGGGTGACTTCTGAACTGCTTAATTCTAACTTGATATATCAGATTGTAACTGCTAGGAGGATTTGTGGCTAATTTTGCATATACTATATCTTGGAAAGTTAGTTATGTTGCTTCTGAATGTTTTTTTAAAAACCCACTTTAATCTGGTGGCTCTTACTTGGTAAGAGATATAACAGGAAGGACTCTTGTGATGTTCCAATTTGCATGTGGTTTTCTGACAATGAACTTCTCAGTATAGGGCCCTACCTTATAAAATGGTTTATTCTGAAACCAGCATCACATCTGTTTATTCTGTTTTAACAACCTTGATCTTAAAAGGTATTTCATCCTCACAATAGTCTGTAAATTCTCATTATCATTATCTTTACAAAGTTGATGAATATTCACATTAAAATCTCAATTACCCAAGACCCTGCTCACTTATGTACCAGTTATCAATGCTTGGTCATGTCCCTGGAGAATAATCTGCTCCACGTCCTAGTGAATAAGTCCTTGGTGGAAAAACAAATTCAGTTTTCTGAGGTGAGCAACAATCACCACAGTACTGAGTCCTTCAAGTATGAAAAGCATACTTTCTTTTCATTTAGTGAATAAATGACACATAACACTACTACTACTTGTGAAAATGATCCATTCAGATTACAAATGGGATGATGGTTAATTTCATGTGTCAATTTGGCCATACCATGGGATCTAGTTTTTGGTCATACATCAATCTAGATGTTTCTGTGAGGATATTTTTTTAGATGTGATTAACATTTAATTTAAATCAGTAGACTCTGAGTGAAGCAGATTATTCTTCATAGCATAGGTGGGCTTTGCCAAATCAGTTGAAGACCTTCAGAGCAAAGCCTGAGGGGCCCTAGGAAGGATCCTGCCTCCATATAGCCTTTGGAATCAAAACTGCAATGTCAGCTCCTACCTGGTCTCCAGCTTGCTGAGCTTCCCTGCGGATTTTTAGTCTTATCAGACCCTAAAATGGCATGTGCCAACTCCTTTAAATAAATCTCTCTGTATACATAATACATAGCATATAGTAATAATATAACATAAGGTAATATATATATAACATACATAAAATAAATATATATACACACATCCTATTGATGTTTCTGTGGAAAACCTTATTAATACGAATGGCTTAATGTGCAGTTGTTACTAGTGTGAAAGGAACTTTGGAATATCTTTGACTGGATTTCTATTGTATTCTTGTATCAGAAAAAAAATACAGTGTGTTCTTGTAGGATCCTCGAGTTCAGTGTTCCACCTGGCCTTATTCCCTCTGCCAAAGTAAGTGATATGGGATAAAAGATATGTCAGAAAAAAATCTAGTAGTACTCATAATTCACGTATTTCTTACCAAATATCATTACAATTATAATCCCAGGAAAAATCGAACTGAATAATGGTCATGTGACCAACTTAGAACTTTCTCCTCTTGAAATTGCTTACCCCAAAGTTTCTCAAAAGGTTCCCTTTTCAAAACCAACTCCCCAAGGTCATCCTTTGGTTCATTCTTGCTAGGTTGGCCTTGTGCCTGAACTATTACAAAACTGAAGTTTCTTCAAGGAAACCTGTAATTAGTCAATCAGACACCTGCTTCCAGACAGAGAATGGGTTAACATTCCAGAAACATATTTGTGTCAAAAAATACACCTTCCCCACTTGGTTTGATTTCAAGAGGAGTATTTCTCAGAAATCTCAGGAACCGAATGGGAGCATGCTGGCTCTTTTCCAGGTGAAGACTGAAAGCTTATACGCTTATATATAAGGAGCCATAGTGCCAAGCATAAAAAAAAAAACTAAAAAACCCCCCCAAAAAAACAGGTTTTATCACTGTTCTTAAACACTGGCATTTAAATGAATTTAAAGGGTGGGGGTGAATGGGTGACGGGCACTGAAGGAGACACTTGACGGGATGAGCACTGGGTGTTATTCTGTATGTTGGTAAATCGAACACCAAAAAAATTAATTTATTAAAAAAATAAAATTAAATTAAAAAAAAAAAAAGGAAAGCAAAAAGTTTGTTAGCATAACTTACCTTGATGTGGTGGCTCCTCCAATCAGCAGTGGAATCTTTATAGCCAGTCTCTCCATTTCCTTGGCAACAAAAATCATTTCATCCAGGGAAGGAGTGATAAGTCCTGATAGGCCAATTATATCTATTTCAAAAAAGAGAAAAAGGACAGTGAGAAGGAGGATGAGAGAAAAAGCAGAAAAATATGCAGGACTCATTTTAAAACCTTTGCAATGAAGACCCTAAGACCTCAGATGAATTCCCAATTTCCAATTCTAAGACATCTTTTCTGGGGATTTTCAATTTATTTATTTACTTTTGGTAGTAAACATGATTTGTAACTTAATGTTACAATCATGTACTTGCCACACTCTGGGGAAGCCATGCAAATAAAATACATTGTTCATGATTTCCCAGATTTGCACGTTACAGTGTCTGAAGAAACATAAAAATGACACACAGGGAAAAATCTAATAAGACCCTATAAAAAGAAGTCTGTTCCTATTCCCCACCTTCAGAGCTACAAGGAGTCTCATGGTCACCCAGTCACCAATTCAACTCCCACTCTAAGTGACGACGATAGCAGCTGGCACCTGACTGAATGCCCCACCAACCCCACATGGGCTAGGGATCACCTTTTATAGACAGACAAACACTGGGGGTAAGGACATCCAGTGGAATTCCCAGAAGCAAAGGTGCACAGTACCTGCTTTGTGGTCAAGAGCAGCTTTCAGAATCTTATCACAGGGAGTCATGACTCCTAAGTCAATAACTCTGAGGTACAGAAACAAGATGGAAAGGAATTAATGTCTCTCATCAGAGACAAAGGAGAAATGAACATTTTTACTTGGCCACCAAATACTCTTCTAATGTAAACTGGAATCACAGGGACATGCTCACTAAGTATCGACAATCATCACAACCACTTATTAAGTACTTAGCATATTTGCCAGGTGCTATGGTAAGATTTTAAAGCAGCTTTTTAAAAAAGATTTTATTTATTTATTCATGAGACACACACACAGAGAGAGAGAGAGGCAGAGACACAGGAGAGACACAGGCAGAGGGACAAGCTGGCTCCACGCAGGGAGCCCGACATGGGACTCGATCCCGGGTCTCCAGGATCAGGCCCTGGGCTGAAGGCGGTGCCAAACTGCTGAGCCACCGGGCTGCCGTTAAAGCAGCTTTATTAATATAATATTCACATAGCCTAAAATTCACCCAAAGTACACAATTCAATCATTTTTGGCATAAGACGTTACTATTTTTTTCAGCTCTGATAAAATATATAAGATATCATCTGCCCTATGAACCAGTAAGTCTCCAGTCCAGTGGCCATAATTACAGTCACAATGTTGTGTACAAACCCACCTCCACTGTCCACAGCTGCAGTATGCTTCTCCCTTCCCCTGCATTCATCCCTCATCTTCACCCCACATCCTGTCTCCCCTACACTTCCATTCCCTACTCCCCTGGGGTTCCCCTAGGTTCTCTTTTTCACCCAGACCTATCTGCCCCATGTCTGCAGACCTCTTCTTACACAATTCTTACATTATGTCACGTAAGATACGAGAAAATAAAAATTAGTGTTATGGGAAAACGCTGATTTTAAATCATCTTTCTAAAGTATGTAGAATCGCTGTGTATGTAAGCATTTCATTTGGGCTTTTAAGTCAGGAAAAAAATGTAAGTTGCGCTAGCTGCTTTAGCAAAGGCATCCAATACTGCCTAAGAATACATCCAATTAAAAAAATACTGTAATAGATAAAGTCCCTCTTACTCTCTGGAAGAATTAAAAAGGAAAAATCAGAGCCGTGCACCCATTCAGGGTGCGCCGTATCTGCTGTCTCTGGAAATGAACTGAACAAAGATGGCATTTTGTTACTGATCCTGCAATTCACATGTGCTACCACCAGATGGCAGGATCCTACCGCTCTGCAGTCCCCATGGCCTGTTTCCAACCTGTGGTTAAGCCACGCTAATAGGGTCTTTTTAAATAACAAACAGTGTATGTTCTCATTCATTTGGGGAATATAAATTATAGTGAAAGGGAATATAAGGGAAGGGAGAAGAAATGTGTGGGAAATATCAGAAAGGGAGATAGAACATAAAGACTCCTAACTGGGAAACGAACTAGGGGTGGTGGAAGGGGAGGAGGGCAGGGGGTGGGGGTGAATGGGTGACGGGCACTGAGGGGGACACTTGACGGGATGAGCACTGGGTGTTATTCTGTATGTTGGTAAATTGAACACCAATAAAAAATTAACTTATTAAAATATATATATATATATAAATTAATTAATTAATTCTGGAAAGTCCCCCTTTCAAATATTACAAGTTCAGCAGAGGAACTTGATATTTTTCCAAAGAAGACATATAAAGGACCAACATGTATATGAGAAGATGCTCAGCTTCACTAATCATTGGGGACAGACCAATCCAACCCATAATGAGAGACCACCTTAAATCTGTTAGAATGGCTGTTATTAAGAAGACACCGCAAAACACACACACACACACACACACACACACACAAACAAGGTAATTGTGAAAAACTACAAAGGCATTAGCTAAAACAACATGTAATAATACTGCAATATGTAAGTGTATCAAATCAATACATTGTATACACCTTAAACTTCCACAATGTTATAGGTCAATTATATTTCAATAAAGCCATAACATACACACACACACACACACACACACACACACGCACACACACACAAGGTTGAAAGCCCCTGAATAATTACCAAGTGAGCACGTGTGATGCACAGGACAAAGTGGATTACTGTGCCCTTGATTTAGTACAGCTGAATAACATTATTCAGTTTGAGAGTATTTCATAGCCATATATTGCTTAGTTCTTACTCATACTACACAGATTAACAACCACTGGTTAAAATATAACCAGGCCTCGGGGATCCCTGGGTGGCTCAGCGGTTTGGCGGCCCCTGCCTTAGGCACCCGTCGGGCTCCCGGCATGGAGTCTGCTCCTCCCTCTGCCTGTGTCTCTGCCTCTCTCTCTCTCTCTATCTTAAATAAATAAATAAATAAATAAATAAATAAATAAATAAATAAATAAATAAATCTTTAAAAATATATATAACCAGGCCTCTGTTATTACCTGTTTTACTAGATCCATATTTTTAAAGTACTAGATATAGAATATCCAATTTTAAAATTTCTGTTGACATATCCTACTCTTTCAATTTGTGAGGTGCTAAACAAATGTTGGGTATTAGTAAACTCTCAGTGGACACATCCCTTAGTTCTATCTAAATTCTCAAACATATACATTCCATTATAACACAGAATCTAATGTGTCATCCCCATGAAAATGTTCTTTGTGTAGACAGGACTATCATCCTTACTCCTCTTTACTTCCTTTTCCTTCACAAAGAAAAAAAGTTCTTACCATTTTATGAGATTTTCCTGCATCAATGACAAAGAACCAGGAACTAGAAAGCTGCATTAGGATTTGGTCCTGAGTGGTTTGCTAGACTCACTCACTAGCTGGGTGGTTCACTCCAGATCCAGCCTAGAGCCCTGACAGTCAGTGAAAGTATACATTTAACTAGGTAAGGTAGATGTTTGGGGCACTTGTCTACTAGTGAATACCATAAAATTATACTGACCAAGGGGCCACATGTTAAGGACCCACCCACAAGATCCAAAAGGGTGTCCAAGTGACAGAAGAAGTTTGCACATTCACTTCGTTTTTATAAAAGGAATAATTACAGTTTGAGCAGAAGATAGTTCTCCAGTTGGACTTAGGATCAAAGGTAAGCCGACTTTCAGTGCACAAGACAGAGGATGTGGATGTGCTGGAGGCAATCCTCAAGTCTTATAAGCAGGCTTTCACAGATGCTGACATGCAGCTCTAGGGGCACCCTAGAGAAAGGCCACCATTCTTCTCGGCCTTTCACAATGTCTTTACTGGAGAGAGAAAACATTCCTAGTGTGGCTCTCTTGGCTACTCATCCATTTCTCAAAACAAAATTATGAACACATGACAATAAGGTCTCAAGAACTGCTTTAGGAAGTTTACCTACAAACTGCTTTTTCAACAGTTTCCATCTCATGATGACAGCTGATTCTATACTTGGCCATTTAGCCTTATAGATAGCAAATTCCTTGAAATCTTGAGAAAAACACAAGACACTTGTGTGTCACCAGTACAATGTGTGGTATGTGGTAGATAGTCTATGAACATTTACGAGTTGAATTCAATTTTACCTAATGGTAATGAATGTAAACAGAAACCAATGACACTGATTTGAAAAGGGGAGAGAGAACAGGGATGTCTTGTAGATTCCAGGAAGCAAACATCTTATCCAAATACTTACTCTGTGGTGAAACCTCATTACAACAACCTCCACTGTATCTCCAATATATTTATCGTTTAAAAAATAATAAATACACTCCAAGAACAATATTCCTCATTTCCAGGACTAGAAGAGAGTGCTAAGTGTTTTGACAGTGAGTATGCATCAAGTAGAAGCATCTGTGAAGACAGTCAGGGGCAAAAAGGCATCATCCTGATACCACACCATCTCCAGCCTTCCTGAGGGCTTCCTGGTTGCATCTTATTGGCCTTGAATGAAGAGATGGTTCACCAAGTTGAGAGTAGGGAGGAACTTGGAGGGTGGCTGTCACAGGGAAGCAAGGGTACACCTGTGAGGGACATAGATGCAGTGCAGCCATGGCTCCTTGCTTCATGGGAGAAAACAGCACACTGTAAAGAAGTCCAGGACTCAAAGGGATGAGTGGTTGGACATGGACCAGAGAAGACATTAGTTGTATGAGGCTTCTTATCATAAAGAACATGTTGAAATCTGGGCAAAACATACACTCACTATAGGTCATCAGCTGTCACATGAAAATAACAGTGCTGAATATTCACTATAATAAGACATATCAGCAAGATATTTCACTTCTATACGCCTTCTGAAATCTAGCTTCATCATTTCCAAGAGGGATGTGTGGTCTTGTTGTAAGCAGAGGAAAGAGAGAATTGTACAGTCAAAGCCTCCTTTTAAAACCCCATTTAGCCGAAGTCTTATGAGAGCTCAGTTACAAAACATGGCAGTTTACTGGGAAGAAAAAGAGAATATGCTCCACACCACAGGCAGGAGCCCAATGTTCTAGTTATCAGAGCTGTGGCCCAAGGTCAATTCTCAAGAAGCTTTTTAATTGTTCTGATGCTACTGGAATAGTTTTGATATTGCTCTTTCTGTCCTTACCAAATAGATCACACAGATTAATTACTAACTTCCTTGATTTGGAAAGTTGTGTTCAATGCAGAAAATGTAAAAACAAAACAGAACACACACACACACACACAAAAAGTCAGGAAACAAATTAAAAATAACCTACAATATCCAAGGCCATACTCTACCTCTCCTAACCAATAAAGAATCATCCTGTTGAAGCTTATATTTTTAAATAAGAAAGCGGTTGAAAGAGGTGGGTCTTGACTTACCTGAAATTATTGCAGCCAAGGACGACACCAACTATGTTCTTGCCTATATCGTGCACATCACCTTTCACAGTGGCCAACACAATGGTGCCCTGGTATGGGTCCTGGAGAGTAAGCCAAGCAGCTGAGCATTGCTGTGGTCACTTAGAGCAAGTCACCTAATTCTCGGGAGCCAGACACGGGTCAGCACAGCAAGCACTTCCATATAACTAAGACAACTCACAAACAGACCCAGAACCCACGTCATGTGCTCTGCAAGTAGAAAGCTGTAAGCCCGAGCAGTGTGAAGGAGGCCTGGCTAGTTGGTTAGCTCAGGGAGCTTCAACCAGGGGTTTCATCAAAACAGTCCCATAGCTGAAGAACTTATCCTTAACTCCAAAAACACTGTCTGACAAATTTTTACTGTGAGCAGTAAGAGAGGAGAGAAGGAGCAGAAGGAGAAGCTGGTGCATGCATACCTCCCATCAGGATCTGAACGATCATCTCAACAGCCCAGTGCAGGGGCATTTAGTTATATTTTGTTTCTTCAATACCATTGTTCTATGCGCTGTCAGCACCCCTTCCCCCAAGTAAATAAATAAATTAATTGATTAATTAACTTTTAAAAAGAAAAGAAAAAAGCATGCCAGGCAAGTGGGATTCTATGTCTGTCAGAGCCATTCACAAACTCATATCAGTATAAGAATTCAGAATTCTACAGGCCAAAGCTGGCTGAGCTCCACCAGGAACAAAACAAGGTCAAAGCGTAATGACTGACTGGCAGTATAGCTAACAGGAATTAAATTGGATCCAGAGGCAGTGCCAAGGACATTACTAGTATACAGAAAAGAGTCAGTGAAGTGGTGTTCCAAAGCCAAACATCACTCAATTACTCAAGGCTAGGGACTGAGCTCTAGGGCTAGTGTGTAGCATGGTATCTTGCACTTAGTAGGAGCTCTGTAAATGGTCAGTAGATGAATGAACGAGCTGGTCTTGATCTGAAATCATAGGCTCTGTCTGAAAAACTACGTTCATATTAAAAATTCATAAAGCTACAACCTAATGGAAAAATCCCAGGGTATTTGGATACTTGATAGAAGAGTTCGTTGCTCTATTTTATCTTCAATGACAAGATTGCCAAGCCTCATGGTGCCTACCCCTCCTAATAAGTCTTTGAGGCCAGTTCCCCATAGGGCCCAGAAGCCTAGGACAAAATGACTTGCCTCTTCTTCCATTGTGCCAGCATGCATCTTATTTTTTTCTCTTTCTTTTTCCATGAAAGGAATAAGGTGGCCAACAGCCTTCTTCATGACTCGAGCTGATTTTATAACCTAGGAAAGACACACAGAGTCAGGTATCTACTTGATCTTGGATGGTTGTTAATGCCCACTTGTGAAGTTTAGCACAAATTAAGAATGTAAGCTTTGACCTCAGATCTGCCACCCTGGAATCCACTTTTGACAGCAAACAAAACAAAGAACAAGTTCCTTGTGGGGAAAGACAGTGAATGAGGTATAGCGGAAGGAAAATGAGTCTAGGAACTGAATGTTGTGATTTCTGTGTTCTGAAGTATCATCTACATGATACTTTTTCTCAGCCTAGAAGGCCATCTCTCATTTCTCCAAGTTCTAGGCATCCTCTTCCACTATGAGCCCTTCTCAGCCTCCTCTTCTCAATCTACTTTTTTTTTTTTAACATTTTTATTTAAGGGGAACCCTCTTGCACTGCCGGTGGGAATGCAAACTAGTACAGCAACTCAAGTGTGGAGGTTCCTCAAGAAGTTAAAAATAGAGCTACCCTATGACCCAGCAATTGCACTACTGAGTACCCCCAAAGAAACAAATGCAATGAAATGCCAGGACACCTGCACCCCAACGTTCACAGTAGCAATGTCCACAATACTGTGGAAGGAGCCTCAATGTCCTTCAACAGATGAATGGATAAAGAAGATGTGCTCTATATATACAATGGAATATTACTCAGCCATCAGAAAGGATGAATACCCACCATTTGCTTCAACGGGAATAGAACTGGAGGGTATTATGCTAAGTGAAAGAAGTCAATTGGAGAAAAACAATCATCATATGGTTTCACTCATACGTGGAATATAAGAAAGAGTGAAGGGATTATAAGGGAAAAGAGAGGAACTGAGTGGGAAAAATTAGAGAGGGCAAAAAACCATGAGAGACTCCTGACTCTGGGAAACAAACAGAGGGTTGTAGAAGGGGAGGTTGGCGGGGGGGTTGGGGCGACTGGGTGACAGGCACTGAGGAGGGCACTTGATGGGATGAGCACTGGGTGTTATACTATATGTTGGCAAATTGGATTTAAATATAATAAAATTATAAAGATTTTTATTTATGAGAGAGAGAGAGAGGCAGAGGCACAGGCAGAGGGAGAGGCAGGCTCCCTGTGGGGAGCCTGATGTGGGACTCGATCCCAGGACCCCAGGATCACGACCTGAGCCAAAGGCAGACACTCAACCACTGAGCCACCCAGGTGCCCCTCTTGATCCACTTCTTGTTTGTTTTTTCATAAAGGAATTTATTTTTATTTTTTAATTATTTATTTATGAGAAACAGAGAGACAGAGAGAGAGGGAGAGAGAGAGAGGCAGAGACACAGGCAAAGGGAGAAGCAGGCTCCATGCAGGGAGCCTGATGTGGGACTTGATCCCTGGACTTCAGGATCATGCCCTGGGCTAAAGGTGGTGCTAAACCACTGGGCCACCCAGGGATCCCCTCTTGATCCACTTCTTTTTTTTTTTTTTTAATTTTATTTTTATTTTATGATAGTCACAGAGACAGAGAGGCAGAGACACAGGCAGAGGGAGAAGCAAGCTCCATGCACCGGGAGCCCGACATGGGATTCGATCCCGGGTCTCCAGGATCGCGCCCTGGGCCAAAGGCAGGCACCAAACCAGGGATCCCTCTTGATCCACTTCTAATGAAGGCTTGTGCTTAAGCAAGAATAGGGCCTTTTACAAAATTCACCAATAAATGCTAAAATTCACAACTGGAAGTCCGGTGGGAAACAGGATGTTGTGCTGCCTCCAAGTTTCTCCTTTTAAGTAAATACATGGCACAGAAACCTAGTAGACATCATAACTAAGTGATCAAAGTCCACAGAACCAGCAATGAGATACAGCAGCATTACGAGCCTCCTGATATGACCCACTGGGGATGGCACAGCCTCACTCTCACTCTTATTCTTGCCAAAAATGAGCAAACATCAGACAAACTCAAACCAAGGGATGGTCTACATAACAGGCACACTACTGAGGAAGGCAGGATAAAAGCAACGTGGGATCCTGGGATAAAAAGAAAACAGGGGTACCTGGGTGGCTCAGTGGTTATGCGTCTGCCTTTGGCTCAGGTCGTGATCCTGGGGTCCTGGGATTGAGTCCTGTGTCAGGCTCCCCACAGGGAGCTTGCTTCTTCCTCTGCCTATGTCTCTGCCTCTCTCTGTGTGTCTCTCATAAGTAAATAAATAAAATCTTATTTAAAAAAAAAGAAAAAAGAAAAAAGATGGTCCTTCCAGACACTCCTTCTAAATACATTTAGAGAAAGAATGACCTAATCTCAATGTCTACGAGCTCTTACCAAAAGCAACACTTAAAAGAAATATACCTTAAGTTACTATTTATTAAAACACAAAGTCTTTTTCTTTTGGTTGTTAAAACTGCACCCAACACCCAACCTGATCTTTTGCCAACCTGAGGCAGAAACATTTTTCCAGCTCCAAAAAGGTCACCAACAACTTTCATGCCATTCATCAGAGGCCCTTCAATGATATTCAGAGGCCGGGGATATTTTTCCTGGTTTAACCTGGCTTCCTCAGTGTCCTCAATAATATGTTTTTCAATACCCTAGTAAAAAAAAGGTTAGGGAAAAAGAGTCACATTAACAACTGACTTAAGTCCAAATAGCCAATAAAGAATGAATCATGAAAATGCTTAAGAGTATAGGTTTTAGATTCAGACTGCATGGGTTCAAATCCTAGCTTCTATCACTAATCTAAGCAATTTATCAAGTCTCAGTTTCCTAAATTAAAATATCACATAGTACCTGCCTCAGGTGGTTATTGTGAGGATTGAATGAAATACCCTATGTAAAGTGCTTAGTTGGCTGTAGTAATATAACATAAGCACTCCATAAAAGTACTCAGTAAAAGTGAGTTACCAGTGACAGAAGGAATGCTAGCAGTAAGTAAAGTTCAAATTCATCATAAAATACACTTTGCATCCTAGGGGTTTCACAGAGTATATGTTACTAAAGATATCTGTGCAATCAGCATGTTTTGTTACTGTAAAGTACACTCTAGGGCTGTGGGAGGAATGACAATGGGCAGGACCCTTAAGTGAAGTTCAAATCCATGAAGCCTCTGAGGACTTTTCCAGCATTCAATGACCAAGCCCTAATCCTCCATGTCCCCAGTTCACCAGCCCTTGGATGTGGCTGGCTTATTCCATAACTTCAAATATGTGAATCTCAAAAGTTTCAAGAAGTTAAATGTGAAATTTGAGAGCCAAAAAAAAAAAAATCCTCTAAAATTCTCAGACAACAAATGAGGACACTGAAGCTACGAGATTATGTTGCCTAAAATTCCAATTGTCAGCAGAAGAACCAGGACTTGTTTGTTGATCAAAAGACAGCAGGGATCCCTGGGTGGCGCAGCGGTTTAGCGCCTGCCTTTGGCCCAGGGCGCGATCCTGGAGACCCGGGATCGAGTCCCACATCGGGCTCCCGGTGCATGGAGCCTGCTTCTCCCTCTGCCTGTGTCTCTGCCTCTTTCTCTCTGTGTCTATCATACATAAATAAATAAAAATTTAAACAAAAAAAAAAAAAAGACAGCAACTTGGTCTAGGAGAGCGCTTCTCAACCTTGGCACCATGGACACATTGGGCTGAATAATTTTCATGTGGGGCCGATCCCGTGAATTATATACAGGATGTTCACAGCATTCCTGTCCACTGGATGCCAGGAACACCTCCCACCCCCTATAGTGACAACTGAAAGTATCTCTAGCCACTGCCAGTGGTGCTGGAGGTGGGGTGGGGGGCTGGGGGCACATTCACTAAGGGGTGCTCTAGGGAATCACCCCTCTAGCACAACACAAGGCAAACACGAGGTGCCTCCAGACCTCCGGTTCACCTCCCTCACCACTCTCACCACTCACCTTCACGAGGGCGTACTCAAGGCGCTCTTCAATGGGGCCATTCCTCCACTCATCAGTCTGGATGACTTTTTTCCCTCCTTTGCCGTGAGTCTGAGTTGAAATTAGGACAGACAGATAGGTACAATGGGCCCTTATTGAACTACATAGCAGCAAAAAGCTATGCCTTACTTTTCTTGAATACTGCCAGTACCTAGTTGAATATGCAGCATGAATTAAGATCTTAACAAATGTTTGCAGGAAGGAGAGACAAGGAGATGTCTAGGGCTTTCAGGATTTGACCGTGTAGCAGAAGGACACAGCAAGGTCCTGTTCTTCCTTTTCTAGAAGAAAACAACTTCATGGGGATGCCTGGGTGGCTCAGTGGTTGAGCATCTGCCTTTGGCTCAAGGCATGATCCCAGGGTCCTGGGATAGTCCTGCATCAGGCCCTGCAGGGAGCCTGCTTCTCCCTCTGCTTATGTCTCTTTCTCTCTGTATCTCTCATGAATAAATAAATAAAATCTTAAAAAAAAAAAAAAAAAAAAACTTCAAAAGATTTTCAGGGCAGTTAGAGATGCTATTCCCTACATGTGATGGGCCTCCAGAGCCTTCCACAAGGAGCATCATTACCCACAAAGAGAGGCTGTGGAGGTGCTGAGTCAGACAGCATCTGGGACGTGGATATGCCAAGAGCCGCAAGACATAGCCTATGCTCTCGAGGACTTCGCCACATCCTAAGGGAGGTGGAGGGGCAAGCCACCAGAGAAAGCACATGCCAGGCGTGGAACGTACTAGTGGATGGTCAGACCACTATGTGATACAAACTAGACTGGGAATGTGAGGAACAAGTCATCATCACAAATCAGGATGGAGAAAGACCTGGAATAAACTGACAGATCCAGCAGAGGCACACAAAGTGAAAGAATCATGGCCCATGAGGTGAACTGCAAGAACTTACCTGCTTTCTCCATGTAAACTGGTGGCATCACTCACCCAAAGAAAAACCTAAGTAGCATTCTGAAATACTCATTCATTCCTCTTATTCGGTCACTCACCGAGTCCTAATGACTACAGTGCGGCGGAATTTCTCCCTGCCCCATTTCCACACTTTCCAAGCCATTGCCTATCTCTACAGCCCAAAATCACCCCGGTCTCCAGTGCACCTTCTGTAGCCAGCTGCAAATCGGATCAATCCACCCCCATAGGAAAAAATTCCTAAGTATCCTATTCCTCTCAGGACACATTGCCTCTCTTTTCTGAGGCTGCTCTCCATGCCATGCAAGGCGCCAACCCAGCCCTCTCTGGAGCTCCATCTTCTGCCAAGCCGAGCAAGTTCAGTATCCCATGCATTTCAGCCCCTTGCACCCTCCACATCCCTTCACCTGACATCCACTTACTCAGCACCGGCTCCAGTGCCAGCCCCCATCTAGATGGCAAATGTCCTTGTCCTGGCAGGGACCACCGCCCAGCACTCCAATACCAGACCCCAGGTTGGCTAACTCCCACTTAGCTTTGAGGTCTCCCCTGACCTGCGCCTTCTGGGAAGCCTTCCCCAACCACCTCTACTTCTGGGTTCTGCATTCTCACAGCATCCTGCACCTGCACTATCCCAGCATGGACTGTGCTAGGTCACAACTGCCTCCACTATTTCTGTATGTCTCATCCAACTGTAGGCTCCATGGGGGCACATCTCTCTTACTGCTTAGATCCTCTATGGTCAGTGAAGTGCACAGCACAGAACAAGAGTTCAGTAAATATTAGCTGAGTGATTTAATGCTAAACAAAGCCAGATTTTCCGGAGCAATGTTTAGGCAGGATAAAAGAGGCCAAATCAGAGAGCACCAGAAATCCATGCTATCCAGTTTGGATTTAACCTTCCAGGCAGTTGTGGGGTACGAGGAGTGCAGGACAAAATTCAAAGTTCTGAAGCTTCAGAATAATAAAGTAATATTTTTAAGAGCACCCTAGAAGGGGGAGGAGATTTTAACAGTCCATGATAAAGGACTGGACTACAGTGGTGGTAACAGGGAGGAAAGAAAATCCAAGCATAAAGACATTAAGTGACAAGCAATGTGTTAGAAGAGAGAGAAGGCTGGGAGAACCCCCAGAACTGCATGGCTGGGGTGCTAATGGCAATACTGAGGACACAAGGGCTTCCTTCCCTATCAGGAAAACTAAAGATGGTGAATTTAAAAGGATGATTTGCAGGATTGTTGCCAGTAGCCAGGCACGGAGGCAGCCTAAACGTCCGTTGATGGCTGAACAAATACAGAAAACATGGTATAATACTATCTGACCATAGAGAAGGAAAAAAAAAAAAAAAACTAGAGCTGCATGGCCCTGCAAAAAGAAAACAAGAAAGAGGAAAAGAGACAAGAAAGAGAGGGGAGGAGAGGAGAGGAGAGGAGAGGAGAGGAGAGGAGAGGAGAGGAGAGGAGAGGAGAGGAGAGGAGAGGAGAGGAGAGGAGGAGAGGAGAGGAGAGGAGAGGATTCTTCTGAAGCTCACATTCCTCTCACTCAGTACTTGTGACGCACCACTTGCCCTATAAGCCACAGCATCAGGCCATTTCTACCCGTGGGACAGAGTCTGAGGAGTACAAACAGGGCAAAAGGATCTGGTGTGTTCACAGAAAGATCCCCCAGTGTGCAGGGCCTCTGGGGCATGGAGGGGTCAACATTTATGGGATGATGAACAGTGGCCAACAAGGATCCAGGGAAGGTCAACAAAGATTTTTCCAAAGCATAAAAACTATCCCATCTGATGACCCTGTTTCAGAAAATCAATACTTAAAAGGTACATTTTAAAGCAACTTTTTTAGGAGTACAACCTTGCATGCTGAGCCCACCTTGCTTTCCAACTAGTCATTCGACAGAAGATTCTCCACGATCTAAGTACAAAATGCTGCAGAGGGGAGACCACATACCAGACACACTGTGGACGCTCACTGAGCACAAAGTCACCAAGCAAACCAACCAGCTACCTGTCCTATGCAGCTGTCTATCCTTGTCTCTGTAGCTACTGCTCTGGAGTATCTTCCTGCTCAGGGGGTCATCCTGGTGACCTGTGCTTTGTTCCTGGCACACAGAAAAGCTGGACAGGCATCAAGGGGAGTATGGTGCTTGGAAGAAAAGGCAAACAAGACTGTGACCTCCAGGGGCAATGAGGAAGATGAAGGCTAGACAAATTATCAAATAACTTTTTTCCCAGAAAAGCATCAAGAGTATTCTCACAAGCCAAGGTCATTCAGGGGCCACTGTATTGACAGCAGAGATCCTTCCAGTCCAAATGAGGGAGGCGAGGAGAGAGAGGGAGGGAGGGAGGGAAGAACTCTATGGAAATCATATGGTACCATGACACCTGGAACTTTTCATTACCAAAACTAATTTACTTACCACAAGTCAGCCTGTGCCAAGCCAAAATAATTATTTTTTGATAAACCTGTGAATTCCCCCAAAGTGGGATTAGAGAGCTTAGGAAGATCAGAGAAAACTCTTTCCAGCTTTTCAATAATGTATCACACAGGAACCTGGGTGCAGACTTCATCATTTAATAACAAAAAGAGATCATTCCCTTATAAAGAAAAAAAAAAACCCCTCAGCCTTTATTTACCTCTTAATAGCACTGCTTTTTACGTTCCATTTGCACTTGGTACATCCTGAGAAATTGCTACCAAGCTGGCAACTACTAGGACTTATTAAAGTATACCTGTTTTGGTTATTAATTCCCTTAATGGTAACAGAAGTCACCTTTGAACGTAGACAGCCTACTTGACAGAGGGGTCAGTGGCTTGTAATAAGTCCCTGTGGTTACACTAAGAGGGAAGAAATTTCTGGTAATTATGGACTGTTAAGCTCTAGAGATGGCTATTAAGATCTCCCTCAGTGTGGCTGTGCCCCAGGAGCAAAACTTCTTGACATCCCAGCATGACACACAGAAACAAAAACTTGTACACAAATGCTAAAAGTGAACTGACCCAAGAGGATGACTGACATAAAATACACAGTCAATAAAACCTTATGTGAGAATAGTCTGACAAATAAGGAGCTTGAACTTTTCTATGTGAGAGAGGGGAGGAAACAACAAAACAGCACATTGTGTGGGTTAAGAACTCTCTACAATGACTTCATGCTTATAGAAGCTGCCACACCCCCTGGCCTTCAACAGAACCCATGTGAGTTATGATTCTACTCAACAGAAGACAGGCAAGGAAGAAACCGGGTAGTGTTTCACACTCAGCGGCCATACACTCTGTTTAGATGAGCAGAAAAAGCCCTGGAGAGAGAGAGAGAAGTCCAGAGGCTGTTTCGTATTCAGTGAGCCCCAAGAGACAGAAAACGATTACATTTGCAATAGTCAAGCCCCAACACATTCTGTCCTAGGTCCACAAGAGAAATCAGAAAAATTTTTTTTTTAAAGATTTATTTATTTATGATAGACATAGAGAGAGAGAGAAAGAGAGAGAGAGGCAGAGACACATGAGGAGGGAGAAGCAGGCTCCATGCCAGGAGCCCGACACGGGACTTGATCCCGGGACTCCAGGATCGTGCCCTGGACCAAAGGCAGGCGCTAAACCGCTGAGCCACCCAGGGATCCCAGAAATCAGAAATATTTTTAAGAAACTGGAGGGGAGGGTCCTTTGCTCACCACACAGTCTGAACCCCACCAGCTCTGCTGAGCCTACGGTAATTTCAGAAATTTAAATCTCATCACCCTTAACAAAGCTAATTAATCCTAAACCATCCTAGCCTTCTTCCAGAACACTCTAGTACTCACGCTACAATGGAGCAGGAGAAGTTGACAGTTCTGCTGGAGTTATAATCAGATTGTAACACAGAAAACATTAACAAAGGGACAACATCCTTGGAAGTGTTCTACCACTTTGCCAACATGCTTTGTGAGAAATATGTCTTCCTTTGCCATGGCTCTTTGCAAAAAATCAAAAAGTTCTTTTTGAGGTAAAGATTTCACCTTTCCTTAAACAATTTCAGGAAGCAGCCCCATGACAGATACTTAATGTACCTAGGACTGCTGGACACTTAGTAAGGGGGAAACAAGGAGCCAGTTTTTGGATTAACTAACACATTCACACGTCTATACATCAAATGCATACAGACCCCAAGCCTTGAATTGTGAACCTTCCCATGGATGGAACAGATCCGAACACAAACAGGCACACATATGTAAACACATTGCAATGGGTATCAGGTAATGAAAGCCACAAAAGAAAATACAAAATAGTCTATTTAAAATGAGGTAGAAAATGTTTCTTAAAATGGAAAGATGCTGCCAATATGCTGCTAAACAGGTTACCCAAAAGCATCTAGAATAGAGGTCTATTATTATAAAAATGCATGTGTGTGCACACACACGTGTGAGGACATAATTATTTTGAAAATAAGCCAAAATCCGTGACTAGAAAGTCATAAAATCTCAATAGTGGTTAACTTTGGGTGATAGGATCCTGAGTGATTTTCATTTTCTTCCTCTGCTTATCTATATTTTGTAAATTTTCTAGAATTAATGTGTTACTTCAGTATGGGACAAGATCAATTTTACATTTTAAAATAAATTTAAAGAAACCTAAATTCAGAATACTGAAGCAGGGTGGCTAGCTATGCTCTGCTTCTGCTCCCTCACCCTTATCTAAAACACCTTCTCTTGGACTCTCTGTAGAAATCTTCAGTGATCCAAAGACATGATGAGATACTTGCTCCTACTCTACAGCAAAGGTCTAATAACTGGAAATGGGTAGTAAGTTCGAAAGAAAAGCCTTCATCAGAACACTTTTCTCTCTACCTGAGCATAGCGTAGGAGCTTCTCCGTGGCCTCAGGGTCTTTATTCCAGATGAGGTCTTCACAGAGCTGGAGGAGTTCCTTATGGATGTCGTCATAGACAGGGAGGCTTCCGGCATTCACTATCCCCATGTCCATACCAAACTAAGGCAAGAAAAAGGAAAAGAAAAGAGAAAATTTCCAGAGATACTCTGTATCAGAGGTAAGCAAACATTTTTTGTACAAAATATTTCAGGCCGTGGTCTCTATCACAACTTCTCAACTCTTCTACTGTCCTATAAAGGCGACCAGGGACAATATATAAAGCATGAATAAGACGTTCTTCACAGAAATTGGCAGCAGGCCGGAGTTAGTCTGTGGGCCATAGTTGGTCAAGCCCTTCCCCATGGAAAAGGTGCTTTCGAAGGGCAAACAGGTGTTCTACTGTACCTTGATTGCGTGGTAAAGGAAAACACCATGCATTGCTTCTCGAATGGCTTCCATGCCGCGAAAGGAGAAGGACAAGTTGGAAAGACCGCCACTTACTCTGACTCCAGGTAATGTTTCCTGGCAAAAATTTAAAAATGTGAAAAGATGTCCTTATTTTGCCAAAAGCAGCAATCACATCCCTTAAGCTTAACAGAGAAGAGTGGAAAGTAAAAAACATGAATTTCAAAGTAATCCAGAGCTTCCTGTAGGTAGACATAAACCAGAACTTGCCACATTATGGTACTGCAAAAGCACTGCTTCACAGATGGTTTTCCCTTCTAGATCCTACTCTCCCTGAGGGGAAAAAAAATTCTGCCTTCCTTGTAAATGTTTACAGTGAACCCGATGAGGTCACAGTAAATGAGAAGTGTGCCATAAAATATCTGCTGAATAAATATCAAAGAAAGAAACACAGACAGTAGCCTGCCATTCACTTGAAGGTTTCCACAGCCTAAATGAAGCAACTCCCTAATTCAGCATGAACTTGACTAATTTTAACAGGACAGAATGAAACTGAGGCTCCCAGCACACCTTATGACAATGTCAAGTATTAGACAATGTCACGTGGGACAACAGGAACACATACGAGAATGTTCACAGCAGCACTACTCACGCTGTCCTCAAACTAGAAACAAACCAAATGTCTATCAACAGTAGACCAGTTAAGTGTGGAAGAGTTACACAATGAAATATTATACATTAATAAAAATGAACAAAGTACAAGCTACGACAACAGAGATAAATCTTTTTAATAAGTTTGGGTAAGCAAAAAAGGCATAAGCATCTTAAGATTCTATTTATATTAAGTATAAAAATAGTAAACACTAAACTGCACTGTTTAGACAATAGATTCCCACTGTTGGTGGCAGTTATGTTGTATAAAGTCACTGTGAATGATGAATTTGGAAATACTGAAAACCCTTTCTCCTAGAGGGAAAAGTAGAGTTTATGTTCCTGTGAACCCCTGGTCACACAATTTTCATCTAGTCCTCAGTACAGAAACTTGTTTTATGTGTGTTTCTGTGTAAAGACATCTTGTTTAATGAATACTATTGATTCACTAACACTGACCGCATGGCCAACTGGCTCACTACGACTCACGTCTAAACAAAGCTTATGTAATGCCAGCATTTTCCCCATAAGGCTCATCACAGCCTTCCCGCAACCAGGAACATTAGACAGCTCTTCGGCACTATACTTGGGGGCCATTTAGACAGAGAAATAAATTACCAAGACAAAGGTCAAAAATGTGAAAAATACAGCACTATTACAGCCATGAATTGGACATGTGTTTACAGAGTAAGAGCTGAAACAAGCAGCAGGGCATGTCTTTGTTGACCTCATCTGGGAACATGTGGGTTGGCCCCACCTGGGCCACGCACCTCTCTGCGCGTGGGTATGTCTGTGAGTGATTGCAAAAGCACCAACAGAATTGATTTTGGGGTCACAAATAAATTTTGGCAAGTAAGTGAATTTGCAAATACACAATCCACGGATAATTCAGATGGACTGTACATAAGTGATAAAATTATAAAGAAAAGCCACAAAGTGGTATCATAAAACAGGAAAATGGTTGCATCACAAAATTCAGAACTGAGGGAATAAGTTGAAAGGGAGAGTCACAGGAGCGCTGGGCATGTTCTATTTCATGACCTAAGTGAAAGCTATTATGTGCTTCACAATTATATATTATAGTTTATATTTTTCGTATATTTTCTCCAGTATGTATGTTCCACTTCATCATGTAAAACATCACATAAAAGAAAAATAATGAAGAGCCCTAAATTTCAGAAAAGTAGTTTAATACCTAACAGTAAACTGTCAACATCCCCAGCCAGTAAACAGATAGGTTAGCTCAAACTACTCACTGGTGCTAGGAGATAAACGTGAGTGATGGCCTGAGTAGAAACAAGAAAATATCTGTACTTACTTTAATGATTTTTGTTGCGTGAATAAAATTAACAGCATACAAGTTGTGCTCTTCCATCCCAGTGCCAATGGTGAGGATATTGGGGTCAAAGATGATGTCATTTGGATTAAAGCCCAGTTTATTCACAAGAAGATGGTAGGCCCGGATGCACACTCTGATTTTTGTGTCTGTTTCTGTCGCCTGGCAAGAGGGGCAAAAGATGCAATTTTAAAAAGAAAATGAAGTGTTATCTATGAAAACACAAGCACATTTCACTTCTCGAAATGCACTTAACTATCGATGCTTAGATTTCATAGAAATCCAAATGCCAAGCAGCCTCTCAACATTTATCAAATTATCTCAGGGGAGGAGATGGTTTAAAGTCGCTTTGTGTTTTCATCCACACAACAGCTATACTGCTTCTGTGAAAATTAAAGCTTACACACACACACATACACACACACATGATAAAAACTCAAACATTACTAAGGAACGATTAACAAATAAGCATCCCTCCTGCTCTGATCTGCCTGGACTGCCATAACTCACCACCCAGGCAGCACCACCAAAGGCTTCTTTGACCTTTCAGAATCCACAAAGATTTAGGGATATGTCCCCAGCTTCTTCCCAACCCCCCAAGCACTAGCTAACTAGCGTGTGCCTTAAGCCATAAATATAAATCAGTACTGCTCTTCAAAATATGATGCTAGAAACCAAAGAACTGACTCCAGCAAGACTCAAACTCCCAGTCGCTTCCCCTCACCCTTAGAATCAGGGCCCATTTCAAGAGTTTTATTTCATACCATTGTCCCTTCCTCTGCCCTCGGCTCCTCTGACAGTCCTTAAACCTGCCCAGTTCATCCCTTAGAGCCCTTTTACTTACTGCTGCCACTGCTCAGAACACAAAACCCTGGGACAGGGCAGTGTGCTTCACCATCACTCACTTCCCTGCCCAGACACCTCTCCCCTGTAAGGCCTTCTCGCTCTCCCTCTCCAACCAGCCCCTCTGCCATCCTGCCTGCTTCCTCCATCTTCTTCACAGCACCTCTCTTTCTAGAAACTATTTATTTGGGAACTCTTTTTTTTTTTTAAATCTGTCTCATTATTTATTATTAACCTGTTGAGCCAAAATACCAGTCTTGCTGTATCCCTTGAGCTGAGAGCAGTGCCTGGCCCAGAACACATGTTCAGTACGATTCACTGAATGAACACATGCTGCTTTTCACTCAAAGCCTTCTAAACTTGGTCATGGTCATGGAGACTGTCTTCATGTCACACTCTGAGTGCTTTCTTGTATAAAAAATCAAATCTGGGGGTGTCTGTGTGACTCAGTAAGTGAATCGTCTGCTTTCAGCTCAGGTTATGATCCCAGGGTCCTGGGATCGAGCCCTGCATCGGACTCCCTGCTCAGCAGGGAGATTGCTTCTCCCTCTCCCTCTGCCCCTCCCCGTGCTTGTACTCTGCCTCACTCTCTCAAATAAATAAAATTTTTCAAATAAATAAAAATTTTAAAAACTCAAATCTGCTCTGAAGAAAAACTGAATACCTGCTATCACTAGAGTCCTTCCAAAAAAATAAGCCACATACAATTTTGAACAGATGTGCAAAATGTTGCTGAAGAGTAGCTACCACCACTGGACCATATGGTGAGTCTCCAAGCTGATTACTTTGAGGGAGGCCTTGGCTAGAGGTGGACACTCAGCATGCTGAAGAATCAGGTCCTGGTCACATCCATCCTGACATCCTGAGAGAGCTCTCTAGGCAAGCACAGAGAGGGATAGGGACACTGCTGTAGCTCCGAATATTTAGGGCAGGTCCCGCCCTCTGGAGAAAGGCCTAGTGGTACAACTACACAAAGAGCTCACTCTGACATCTAGGTTTTCAATGACTTTCCTACTTTGGTATTTGTTGCACTGTTCCCTTCAGCCTTAAATCTCTCCCTGCTTCCTGCTGCTGGTGGGGTTAGATCTCACATCTGGCGAGTCAGTGCCCCCACAATGAAGCAGACCGAGGAGCTAGGGGAAAGGGAGACAGGAGCAGGCTCTGTGACTCCACTGCTCCACACTTCAGGGAAAGGGGCAAGCTCTCATCTTAACTGAATTTTTTCAACAACTTACTCCTTCAGTTAGTGACATGGTTAAGACCAAGATGTGGGTCCGAAAGAAAGCAGTCAGGAGCAGGTCACCCAGGAAAGTCCAGCTGTGCACCAGAAGGCAGCATTGTACATGGGACAAGGAGGAGGGTCCTCACAGGACAGGAATTCTTTTACAGGTCAGAAAGGGATCACCAATTACCAGCCCCATAAGGACAGGGTCTTGTCTCACCAACCCTGTAGCACCTGCCATAGTGCCTACCACATTAACAGACACACAACTCCTGTCTGCTGCAGAAACAAAAGAACCTCAGAATGAAAAGACGTTCAGGGTGCAGGACTCTGCCAGGAGCAGGTCACATCATGTCAGACTTGCCAAGGTTTCCTCTGTCATGTTCCTCGGCCAGGGTTTGAGATCAACTCATTGCTAAGGAGTGGTCATGCCTGAGGAGCTCACAGACCCAGAAGAGAGGTCCAGGAAAGAAGAGAATGGGAGCAGCCTTCCTTTATTTGCTAGGGCTCTCAATTCCAGCTGCACATTATTACCTGGAGGGCTCCTTGCCTGTGTGCTAATACCTGAACCTCACCCTACACCCGTTAGATCAGGATCTTGAGAAGAGAAATGAGCAACAGTATTTTCTAGGAGTCCCCAGTGATTCTAGCATACAGCCAGGATGGGGCACCACCTTCTCAGGTCAAGCTACAAGAAAACCTCAGTGACAATACCATAAACCTCAGCTCAAGAAGGCATACATACTTTTTATGATTTTATGATTTACCCAGTTTACTCCTGAGCTGCACAAAGTTAGATGGCCATCGGTAGGGAGAAGGTTTAGTTAAAAAAAAATCCAACACCCAGGCTTTGCCAGAATATCACACTTGGGGAGAAAGGAGATAAATCTCAACTAATCTTTGATTTGTTCATCAAGGTGGATATTGTGAGGACAAGAAAGAAAGGGTGGAAGACACCTAGATTCTGTAAAAATACAGCCTGACAAGCAACAGGGAAGGCACAAGACCACCTGCGGAGGCCAGCCAAGGGTTGCAAACCCCTCAGAATGTGCTTAACATGGGCCAGGGAATGCAGTAGGAGGCCCACCCTGCCGCCACAAAATTCCCAAGAGTGGTGATGGGAAGAGGCATCTGTGCCACCATCTGGAGGGCACCCACATGTCAGAAGGAAAAAAAGCCAAAGAAGCGAGAGCATGGGATGAAGACAGGGCAGATCCTGCCCATGGTGGAAGAGAAGAGTAGAATAGCTGGGGTCACTGGAAAAACAAGGCCAACCTGGAATGCCTCCTGGTTCACTCTCTACCTGATGGAGGGGAGATGGTGCCCCTGGCACAGCTCATGCTCCAAGCAGGCAACCTTGAAGGGGACTCAGAATCAAGGAGAAAGCAGACTAGATGTCAGACAGGGAAACAAGACTGCGAGGCAGTCTCCATACTATGCCAACAGCAGCCGGGAGAAGTGGATCTCAGCTGTGGCCCCTGGTGACACAGCAAATGAGGAAATCAGAAACCAGACTCCTCTGCACGGCATTATCGTGATCCAATGCCCACCCATGGCTTTTTATCTAGAAACCACGGGTAGAGGCTGCTTGCTAGAAGATCCTACTCTGAAGAGCCCAGGTGAAGCAGCACTATATCCTCACACAGGGCAAACGACTCCATTCAAATCTCTTTCACAAAGAGGAATGCCAGGCTTGTGCTAGGAAACCAGGAACCTGAGCTGAGGAGAGACACCAGCTGTATGCTGTGCTGTTACTCTTGTGAGGTCAGTGAGGATCCCAGGCTCTGTGGAGATCTGGGACCAAGTGGCTTTGGAGGCCTCCTATTCCTCACATCCCTGCCATGAATTCCCGCCTCCAAAGGTCATTTGGAGAAGTCACTTTCTTACAGAGAATTTAAGATCTGGAGCACTGGGCTGGCTCAGTCAGAGGAGCACACAGCTCTTGATCTCAGGGTTGTGAGTCTGAGTCCCATCATGCTGGGTGTAGAGATTACATACATATATACATACATACATACATACATACATACATAAACAAACAAACTTAAAAAATAGTTTCAGATCTATAGTCCATCTTATATAAGGAAAGGCCCAAGAATAAATACTCAATCATGTAAGCTTAGCCAGGGAGTGGTGACCTCTCTAGAGCCACCAAAAAGGAGGCCCCTGAAATGTAGAAATATATGTCAGATTTTCAGAGGGTCAGGGGAGAACATGTGAGGATCATCTCCTAGGTGTGGGTCAACTGCCTCCAGCAAGGTAAAAATAAAGGGAATTTTTAAAAAAAGATTTTATTTATTTATTCATGAGAAACACAGAGAGGAGAGAGAGAGAGAGGCAGAGACACAGGCAGAGGGAGAAGCAGGCTCCATGCAGGGAGCCTGACGTGGGCCTCGATCCCAGGTCTCCAGGATCACACCCTGGGTTGAAGATGGCGCTAAACTGCTGAGCCACCTGGGCTGCCCAATAAAGGGAATTTTAAGAACAATTACTTCTGTTTCCTAGAACTATCTATGATACCATGATGCATATTTTCCTGGAAAATACAAGACATTCAACTGAAACACATCATCAATTTATCTAAATTTAATAAATAAGGTATTACCAAATAAAAATCTAAAAACTCACTGCCAAGGGAAAGGAAAAATAATAATATTTACGAAAGGAAAAATAAGCCAATCCCACCAACAATAAAGCACCACAAAATACCTAAGAATGTTCTTGAGATTTGCTATTTAATAAAAACTACAAAACCTGATTAATTAATAGTAACCATGCTCCTGAATGACAACTCTGAATACTGCCAAGACAGCATGATATTCTAAGTTAGGATTAATTAAATTTTAATCAATAACCCAATGGAGCTTTATTTCTCCATAAGCTGGAAAATTATTTTTCAAATCATTTTAACATAGAAAAATGTGTTGAATATAATGGATGCACTTATAGAATATCAATTTTATATAGTGTGCATAGATGCAAACAAAATTGATATAGCCCATTCTATCATGTGATAATTATATTTCTAAGAAACCTTACATTATCAAAAATTATCATATAATATATATCATTTCAATTAGAAAAGGAAAATTAAATC